TTTCTACATCAATTTAGTGCCTTTTTCCAGTAATATGTTCAGTTATCGAGATATTAGACGTGTTTTGCAAGTATCACTTGAGTCAGGCAACTCTATTTGTTCCTGTAGACACTTTTGAATGTATTGTGTGGCCCTTACTTTAGATAACAAATGAATTGTCCTCATTCATGTTAGAAAACAACCACACATTATTTCACAAATACAATGAGATTTAACTTTATCTTTCAGCGGTATCAAAAGCTCTGAATTTTCTGAATCTAAGCTGCATAGTATGATTTGTTGATAGTGGCCTTGTTTCCTTGTTCGGTCATCGAGTTATTTTCTTCACCCGTCTATGATATCTTGATGATAGTATTTATCAATGTTCTGTTCACTTTATGCGGGGTTATAAATTAAAATGCGTGTTTGTTCTCGATTTCCGTCTCCATCAATAATCTTATCTCTTTTCCCAAAATGTCATATTTACACGTTCTTTGAATTCATTTACGTAACCCCTTTGTTAAACCTCGATTTAATTTTATTACTGACCTGTCCATGTATGCCTTCCATAGATAGGTCGTTTCATAGATCAGTCTTGCGGTTGACTGATCATTACGTCGTAGAAAGACAGCTAATCACCCTTCGCTCCTACAATTATTAAATACATACTATTTTCTACTTAATCCATTTGATCCAAAACGGAAGTAACATAATATAGATCATCACTTTTAATTAGGATATCATCTATATATCCTTTATAAGATGGAACTTTTTAAGTCTTAACTAATACATATATATATATATATATCTGCTAAAATGGGACCGTAGCCGCTTCCCACAACATTACCATCAGTCTAACTAAAATATTCACCACAAAATGCAAAGCTTACACTGGTGTTAGAAAAAACATTGTAAGTGTTGTAGGGCAGAAGTTGGTTATCTTTCATACTGTAAGCGAATTCATGAACTTATTATAGTGCACATTATTTAAACAGATAAGTTTGAATCCTATTTATCCTCCACTTCATTTCTAACGACTAGTGAATATCTCAGAGGATGTGACAAAATATTACAAAATGAAGATATAACCGTGCGTCAAACTTCTTTCTTATTGAGCTAACAAAAATAAGAATTTGTTGTCGGAAAAGTTTTCAACGATTTAATTTACTAAGCTGTACAAAAGAGTCCTTTCGTTAAGCTCCTTTTTTCATTTTCTTGCTCATCTTTAAGGAGATTTTTCAGAAAAAGGTTACTGCATCACTCATTGATACATAAAACGTGAGGACTGAATAAGCAGGCGGATATGTTACGAGAGGACTTACACAGGTAGTTAAAGCCATTTGATACTAAAAAGAAAGTTTCCACGGCTTATTGCAGTTACTCATATCTCTCTCCTATTTCAGAAGTGCTAAACTGTGATGTCGTCTCTTTTTTAACTAAATGGTGACTCTTTGGTTGTTTAAGCTAACCAGATTTACATGCTTCGTATTTTAACATTTATTGGTTACTCATTGTTCATATTGCGGGAAAATCAGGAATCACTGAAGATGTATACATTTCTATAACTTTGAGCATCGTATGTTTCAGATTTAGTTTCAATGTATTCAGTTCTTATTAGTGATGAGTAGTAGCTAGCAACGGAATCCAGGATGTGTATTTCCTCCCATTTGGGACTCCTCGGCTGGATTTACTTGCCTACCAGTGAATGATGTTGTTCCGATTAAGACTACAGCTTGGGTCCGATCGCTTCAGACGCTAAGATGTTATCTACCAAGTCAACGAGTCAGGATAGCCATTTCTTGTTCCACATGTAGTTTTTATGTTATGACGAAACCTAAATAGAACGAAACGCGTATCCTGATTCCCACTGTTAGCCAATATCCACCATTAGTATAAAAGTGAAACACAGACAGTGTGGTGGCACTCAAACAGGAGTCTGTATGCAAGTAGAGAGCAATCGACTGAGTCTAATCAATGAAGGGATATTACAAATAAAACACATTTAGTTATCAGCTGGATTCCCAGAACGTTTATCTTAGAGGAATTTTCTTGTGAGGGTAAACATGAATTCTGTTGGGAAATAATCTATTCCGCAATTAGTGAATGTTTCAGAATGATGCAGGAAGAACAAGGATTTTTAACTGTACTGTACAGTATTAAGTACCTGTACTCACACCAACATAGTTACAACAGCATAAACTCAGTGATACTTAGGTGCTAATCATTAGTATTTCGTAATTTGTCACGGTCACAGAACAATAATAAACAACAAGAATATCATCAGACGTGACCTGACCAAATGAAAATTCATATATGTATCACGTCTGTCTAGACAATCACAAATTTTCACAACTGTCTTAGTCTCATCAGCAATCTATACAACTTGGTTTTGAGATAGCGGAAATGCAGTGAATGGATAGTTACGTATCGTACACTCAAATAAAAGCTTGGCAAAACCACTGACAAGTGAAGTATAGTTGGGGCCCATAGAAAAGCTGGACTTTTAGATCACTTTGTAAAGCACGTGGCATGGAGTTTCAAGTTCTAGGGTGACTCATGTTATAATTTTGCCTTCAATCCTCACCCCAAATCAACCAACCATTCTTCAATAATCCTTAATAGCAAGTTCAACGGTAAAACACTCATTTGCTTTGGAAAAAATTAGTGAGTTTATAGACTGTTTACTTTATACCGAATTCCTTTTTTATTAGACTCTTTATTGTGTTTAGGTGTGCTGAATTATCGGTTAATTTAACTCAAATAACGACGTCAGACTGTCGTTCGTAGGTACACTTTTGTTTTACAAACTTATATCGACGTAGCTTAACTCCATTCAGCTAATATGTATTAGACTGTGATTCACACGTCTTGCTTGAAGACTTACGATACTGTTCCCCGTTTTAGGCTGACACAATGAAAATGGTGCCAGAAATCGAGACCACTTTTTGTGAGCAAATTCTGAAGCCAATGAGTGGCATCTTCCGTTCCATAGAACTAGAATCGTACGAACATATGGACTACATAAGAAATTTTATTTACAATTTTTTAACGCTTTCAACACTGATATTTTTATTCCCAATTCAGAATGTCAATGAGATGCTAAAGAACGTAAACCCTTTACTACCAGTCGTATATCGCAAACATCTGAATAACAGCGAGTAGCATTTAGAGATATCTTCAAACGAAATTCGTCAGCTGAACAAATGCACTCAAACTCATTACGAAAAGCTTTGCTCAATTATCGCATTATCATCCACAAATGCAGGAAGTAGAGACTTATCTGTCCTGTGTTGAAATTAATTGTTGAGTTGTATTTTCCGAATATAACAAGTCTCGTATCCTTTCATAACAGCACATACTATCAAACATTGAAGACTTTTAAGAAAGGTTTCTGTCGTTTAGAAACGCCAGACTCAGCAGTGAAAGTGAGCTCCAGTGATAATAATACAACTTTAAATATTGCTTATCTGTTTTACTGGTATTAGATCTTCATCGTCAGCAGGCCTGACTTTACTACATTGACCTGAAAAACAACAAATAGGTTTATATTCATACATTGTATGTATCAATGCCAAATGAATGACTAATAATCACAGTGAAAGATAATTGTAACATAGAGATGACTGGACAATGAGATGAACCACATGATTTTTCACCTGTAATTTATATCTGTGATAATGTAGATTTTGATTATTTCTCTGAAGACGTTCAGACCGAACTTCCGAATTGGAATTTATAGCTTCAAACACGTTCAGATTTATCCAAATATAGCTTATATATAATGTGAACTTTTCGCTCGGCGCCCTGTATTTGTGAAACTGTTCAGTTGAAGCTTGTCCACGATTCATACAAACTTCTATGTTATATCTTATATATATTTTGCTATACGAAAATTTTAACCCTAATATTTCATAACAGTTGAATTGTGTTTCTTTTAAGCCGTGAACTATTTTATTTTGAACCAGATTGACTCAGTTAATTCAAAGCCTCTTGACAGAAATTTTCGTGCTTGCTAGGGATCATTACTGAGAAGTATGTTCTAGCTTCATTCCGTTTCATTAATATGATGGCGGAATTTGGATACTTCAGTAGCGTGTAGTTTCATATAACGTCTAAATGTAACTCACAACAATACAGCATTATCTGCTGAATGATTACATCAGAACAATTAATTGCACTTTTACAAAATGTGAAGGCTGTTGGCACTCATATACTTTATGGCCGAACCAACCCGAAACAAGTACAAGAATACATTATCAGAGAGTAATCAGTACAGCTGTATGGTTGTCCATACTGACGACAAAATGAGTGACATAAATGGTAGGATATCGTCATGAATTTTATTCCTCAAGAATTCATAATTTTTCCGCCATTTTCCCTGAAAGATCATTAGGATGAACCCATGATTTTTGTTAGGACAGTTGTTTATCAAAGACAAACAAAATAACCTGAAGTGAAAGTTATAAGACATCTGTTTTCTCCTCTATCCATTTTAAATGTGATTAAAAAACGAAAACGTGAGGTAAATCAAATATACTTAAATGTACAAATGGCAATATTATCCAGGGATAGGTAAGGGTAGCTAAGAAACAAACTTACAAGAAAAGTGATCTTATAACGTTATATGTATATGTTTCATTAATTATCATAACAGTATGACACCCAATGAGTCTTCAGGTAAATTTTGCTTATCATTGAATTCACCAATTACTTAACCATAAAACTAATGATGAGGAATTTTCCTCATGAGATAATGAAAACAAAATTAAAAAAATGAGTGTCATACAAAATATTTTCTTTTTCCTGAAAAAAACCAGTATAAAGTGTTGAAATGAAAGCAAAATTTGAGAAAACAATTTGACTCATTTTGTTTTCGATCATGTACAGCATCAGATTAAGATGGAAGAATTAGAAAACGATATATTTTCCTTTTAAATTACACAGAAATTCTACTACGTTCTATGTATTTGTATATATATATATATAATATATATATATATATATATATATATATATATATAAGCAAGTATAAGGGTGGATTTGCTCACATAATTATACTTAATCTGTATTCCATCTTGTATAATTTCATAAAAGTATAAAAAATATTGAGGAAGTAGACAGTAATAATACCAAGATGATTGTGGCTCGGTATAAGTGAATAAAAACGAGCGAGGAAAGAAGTTGGTGAAAATGAAAGAGAAACTAGGTATGATAAGTATTTCTATACAATGTACATTATGAAAGACCACATTTTATCAGTTTTATTCTGTGTTTCCTAGGGTATTTCTCGTCTTAACAAATCATTTATAGTGTAAAGAAAGGAGATACATTATAGAGCAGTATTACTTAATCCAAAAGTGTTTATTAGATTCTTGTTACGATCAATATTATTATCTTAAATTGTTGAAGTAATCAGTGCTTCGTCTGCATAATTTGATATGGTGGGAAAATGCACGTATTGATAGTCTCCAATTATGCTTGGTTGTTTAACAGGTGAAATTACTCAGTGTATTCCACAGTATATGCTATTTCTCCTATGACTGGCTATTGAGACGTTTTACTGAAATGATAATGGAGATAAGAAAATGAAAATTACTTTTTAATTCATAGTTATTACTAACAGAATGTTAATTTGAGTATTTCCAGAAATTACAGGTATACTTATAAAAACGTTCTACATCAGCAGGTAGACCACTCATGGATACTTGATTCATCTTGAAGAGTTACTTAGAAACCGCAATATCATTAAGGGGATTACAGTACCCATTAATATGAATCTATGAGTAAAAACTATCGAAAAAATAGGCGCATACATCGTTCCTGTCATAAATCTTCTCACTAAACTGAATAGCTTTTGTAAGTCTTTAAAATTCACATACCTGTGCTTCCATTAGATATTACTGGTGAGGTAGACAGAGATAACAAATAGGATCCTGGCATAAAAATGCATCAATTCAATTTGCCAATCTTAAGTGTAACACATAAGAAAACTAATAAAACCAAAGAAAGTTAGAGTGGTGTGTAAATGTACAGTTGTATAACACTGTGATTCATTTTCACCTAGGACAGTTAGTCTGTGTTTTGTAGTGCATTTAAACAACAATTATGTGTAAACTCCACCTTATTTTAGACAAATATCGATTGAATTAAGTTAGGGATGATACATTTCACTGTGTCGTTGTGACCTCTACTACATCAAGTCTTTACTGTAACCTAAGTCCACACAACCAAATAATTTCAGCTGAAAACAGGACTGATAGACAGACAGAATCAACGTAGAACCGCGCATACAAGAGAATTGGCTCAATTTGCCACGGAAATAAAGAACACATAGATAAAAAAAAGTGATATCAAAGTAGACAAAGAAGTATGGAAGAGTAAATAATCTGAAGATAACTGTTAGTGTCAAAAAGTGCACACATCTGCGTCATTGTGAACAATTTCCAGCCATGTCACCAAGAGTTCTCAACCACTGATTCCTATTGCCTTGAAGATCCCAAACACGCAGTTTTATCTCCCTATACGGCTCAGACCAACAGTACGGGACTTTCTTATAATATGGAGTAAGATAACCAAAATCTTTCGAAGTAGGGGTAAATCGTTAAAGCCTTTTTCAACCAATCGCTTTGCTTGGAAAATTCGGGAAAAAACACATGAACGGACGTGTCAGTACCAGGTTGGTTAAAGAGAAGAAAAATTAATGGGATTTAAATGTAGTAGGACTGGAAATAGCCAAGGCTATGGTAATATATATAAACCTTGTCGTTGCCGTTAACATAATAAATACACCCTCTATTTTATCACCATCTTTTCTATTTACTGAGAAACTGAGTAACCTTCAAGGTGGGATTTGTTGTAGTAGAAGAGATAGAAAATGGGTCACTGAATAAGGAACAAATTGATAACAAGTGGTGAGATAAGAGACAAGTGTTGTCAAAGAATCGTAAAACGGTGATAATTAATACCAATTCATTCTTTATATATTAACCTACTTCGCATGTTTCAGCTTAATTATCGTCGTTTTACAACTCTTTGACAACACTTGTCTCATATCTCACCACTTGTTATCAATTCGTTCCTTATTCAGTGACCCATTTTCTATCTCTTCTACTACAACAAATCCCACCACCAACACCGACTGTATATTTTGTATATTGACTGAGCAACGTTTTAGTGCAATTATCTGTCACTTTACCGAGTATAAATGCTACTGTACAGCTTGATAATGAAGTCATTGAAAAGAAATATTTCTTCGCTGATACATGCCTTGTTCTTATTCATAAATAAATGCGCATATTTCGTCATGTAAAAAGGGGCCGCTAGAGCTACATAAAAGACTTCATGGACCAGTGCCAGGTTTTGGTCTGGCCACCCTGAACCCTTTCCGACCTAATCCACAACACATGTCTTCAGTGGGTGAAGACTAACATCCTCATCGATCGACTTGTCTCTCTCGCCTACCACCCTTCGCCTGACCTCAATATTGCACCTACGGCGATTCCGTAAAACGTTAAAAGTGCTACGAAGATACTTATGATCAAAAACCTGTAACCGCTTCATGTCTTCAACTTCTAATGGCCATGTTTCACAGCCGTATAACAAACTGCAGCGTAGTATACTCGTCCATTAGTAGATAGTCGGATATCTCGCCGGCCGGAGCCATAGATGATGCAAGTTGGTAACTTGCAAACGGGTCTTCGTCAAAATCCTGGCATGGGTACCTTAAAACATATCGAAGTGATTGTACATTTTCTAGGAAAAGTTATAACTTCAAATTTCTGATTACTTCTAGGCTATTATTAGAACTAAATCTTGTCAGAAACCTTATTTAATAAACACATAGAATTGATTCTGTATCAAGCTAAATAAGGAAGTTATGAAGGGTTATAATACACGTCACTGACAGAAATCCCGTCCTATGAAAACAATCTTCACACGTTAAGCATGGTGGCTATAATCTTCAGTGCCAGCGGCCATCGGGTTGCCTATCTACCTGACATTATCTGTCTGTAAGATCCTTGCTTTTCGGAACTATTCCCAATCACGTCAGCAAGCTGATTTCAATAGATTCTGTATTTCAATGAATATATTCCACTAATGGTAATTTCAGTTTTGAAATTTTTGTCCTAGAAAAACCCAAGTTTGAGCTATTCTGGGAAGTTCATTAACATAAAGGCAAATGCCTATCGTTCTAAGTTCATGTATTTCAAAATAGTTCCAAGTATACTAAAAAACTTGTGGGCTCAATAATCAACTGATAACAGGTATCAAATACTGCAAATAATCTTGGTTTATTAAAAACTTGAGAAAAGATAAGGTCAGTCAGAAACTAATGACATGAACTAGGATCCAGCTAAAGTTCGATTTCATTCAATAAATGGATTCAATAACGTTTATACGCAAGTGGTTAGTATTTCATGAGTGTGACGGCTTAGTAAATATTTCGTTTATGTCTTTTATTTTATCTTGAAAGGCGAACTATCTTCAAAATAAGACAGAACTATTTGCAACGTGTCCAATTTAAAAGCAAATTATTAATAAAGCATGTGGTCAGACAATTAAACCTAGTGACTTACTCATTCAAATTGATTGAAGACCCATTAACTAAGTGAGGTGTACGTTTATATCGCCATGAAAGATCAGAAACTTGTGGTTTAGGTTCTGTTGGAGTGCGCAATTCCATACTTCCACCAAACTATCTCTTTTAACATTTTTAGCTGGAGGATCTAAGTACGATGAAATTAGACTGTGCCTCTGTTCATTTAGACTAGGAGTAAGTGAAGTATTTTCTACGTCTTGACTGCTATGTCTATTTTCACTGAATGGCTCAAAACCGACTGGCCAGGCTGAGCTTTCACTTGTTTCTGAACTGATCGATGTTTCAGCAAGGTCACTGACTGTCGCTTCTGTTGTTAAATCTAACTGGATTTCTATGTTTGGATTACCTTGACTAAAAAATATATGCATGTAAAAATGATTCATTTTATTAGCTATTATCCGTTCACATTATAATTATCAATCCACTTAGTTATTCCCATCGTTAACTTTACTGAAAATTCAAGATGATCACTTAAGTGTCATATGAAAACGAAATAACTATCTCTTAAACACGTCAGCTCAATGTTCTAAGTAGTTTGGTTTCAGCTACACCACTACTGGAATCACATTTCTGTTTTCATATGCTTCATGAGGGTAGCGGTTGATAGTAAATATCACATTACCAAGCTATTTGTTAGTACCTAAAAATACTTCATGAAAAAATCTCCTCCTCATTTTGGTACTGTATTAAATAATTTGGAAGTCGACCATAAGATCAAAGATGGATCCAGAATACCATCTAGATGACACTCACTTGTTTGTATCAAAGTTGTACGGTATATACTGCTTAGTGTTTGGAGACCATTACCTCAGTCATTTATGCTTGCTCATCAAAGTGAGGTGACGTAAAGACCACCTACCTGCTTGTACTATATATGTCACCGAGGATTACTAAATTTCACCGTTCATAAAACTTCTTACAGCTTACAACTTTATTAGAATTCATCCTAATCTGTGTCTATGCATTAGAGAATTACATTTCTTGAAAACCATGGGAATTACAAAGCTGATGTATTTTCTGTTATATAGTAAGAATGCAAAAGGAATTCGGTCTCACTAGGGCTTTTTTATTTACCGCTAGATGTTTTTATTTACTTTATTTTCGAAGTGATAATCTTTCTTCTCGAATGTTGTCAATGAGATAACATTTGGTATTCAGTTCATCACCTTTTGGTGTGAAGTGTTAAGAAAAATACACTTGGAGAGAACTGACATCTCTCAAGTGATTCATTCTTAATCATCTTATTTAGCACAAGGTGTCACAAGTGATCATTTCAGATAATCATTACAGCAAAAAGCGCTCTGTAGTAATCTAATAAATTTCCATCAAAAGCTTTCAGCGCTTCGAACAACCTCTGATCTGATACATTCTCAATCGTAAGAGAATATGAAGTAATGAAATTCACTGAAACCCATCTGTACTACAGAAACTACTACATTTATATTCAATCAAACTTCATTAAACCGACAAAGTCTAGTGAATATTTATGTTGGAAATTACCACCAGAATTATATTTATGATAGATTATTAAAAGTGTATTTACAAACTTTTTTATTCAAATGTGCTGAAAATTTCTCTCGATAACTTCTTGTTATTCTCCCAGTCAGTAAATTCTTCTCTTCATTGTTACTTTGCGTTTCCTCCAATGAAGAAACAGAGCAGATTTGACTGATTCACCACTTTGTAGCTTCTCATTTTGTTCAGCGTAACTGTCTGCCTTATGAAAGGAGGTAGTGATCGGTTTCATATTCTCTCTCCCTCACTTTATATATACACATTTATTCATTCATTTACTAACATAATGCAAATTTTTTCTTAGTTTCGAAGTTCAAAAAGCTGCTGTGCCACTAATAGTTTTTTCATCGCCCCTCATGGAAAGATGAAAGTTTCATCCTATGTTATTTAGTTGAAGGTAAAGAGCAGGAAGCCCTGGATCTAGGTTTCGCGCTTTTTGGCACCCGCTAGGAGGGCGTATCTGCAACCTCGACGAAAATGATGTTCCGCCTGAGACTCAAACCCGTGTCACCCAGTGCTGTAGTCAACGACTTTAGCACTGAGCTACTCACGCCGCATTTGACCTCCTGTAGGACTGGTTTACATGCATTGATTGGTCACGGAAGTGTAACCAATTTCATGTTGTCTAGTCCTGAGTGTAGACCGAATCCCATCGATCATATTTGCAATGTGGCAACAAAGCTAGGAAGCTCAGCAACGCGGTGCACATTAGTAGATGTTATCCTATACATATCAGACTTTGCTTTGTTAGCAACAAAATAAGTGGTTTTTTCAACACCCTTAAGTAGGGTGATTTGTGAATCAAACAGACTAGAATTGTTCAGAAATTACTAGTAAATCATACACTTCTGTCATCTACGACCACAAGAACTTTAGAATAACTACATTTTCCTATCTTTGAGATGATGTGAATTTTCCAAATAATCACTTGTGAAATACTAAACAATACCAAAAATATTAGAAGTTTTGATGCAAGACTTCGATGCAAACGTTTTGAGCTATTGAACACTGATAAAACCTTGCGCCAAACTAAAATTGTTTCCGGAATTCTATAAACACTGAAAACTTTATTTACAGAATTGGTTCAGTGATCAGAATTATGAAATATTTCGGGAAACACCTGAAAATGCTGGTTAACAAATATGAAATATCAAATTATTGTTTCAGATAGAATAATTGGGGACCTAATTGCCTATCATTTAAATATCAACAAACTGTCTTATTTCAGTCATTACCACAGCATAAATCCTTTTTGAAATACTGAAAAAAAAACGGAAAACATAAAACTACTTACGTATTAGATGAAGAATATTGTAAGCTGTCAGAGGAATCACTTAAAGAGTCCTGAGGAATAAGTTCAGATGGCCTGTGAAAATGAGAAAACTAAGTGTAAAAAATTTGATTCTTTGAATATAATAAAGCAAACATTATCACCTAAATAGAATTTAATCCCAGACGTTCCTATCTGGATACGTAAATAACAGTAATAAAATGGCTTTGAAATAACTAAGTATAAACCTTATATTCCTAAATGGTACTTGTCAATCAACTTCATTTTAGAAGTGAGACAATCTCTGTAAGTTATCTGAAGTAAAATTAAACGCCATGCCTATCTACCTATCCGACGAAATGGTCATGTGTAGTTATAGGATTAAAAAATAAAAGTCGATATGAGGTATGTAAATTTGGGCTTAGTGGCTCAGATAGTAATTTGATATTGTACACAGTGTTTAGCATAGTTACAACGGTCAAACAACTGTCGATTTCAGTTATTAAGTGAGGTCGCAATAGAGCTAACTTCAAACTAGTCTAACATAATATGATTGAATAAAATCACTGCCAGCTAGCATGACAAATATAAAAAATAACATAGTTATTGGATAACACGATTAAATCAGCATAAAATGCAGATTAAAGTCAACGTGATATAGCTCGGAATCAATTATAGTGACCCGGTCTACGTCATTCTTTTTCCATATATCATCCATTTCAGCTTGTATTTTTCCGATATTTTCTTCAAAACAGCATCCTTTATTCGTTTTCTGGAGTGATTTTTTTAATCTTACGTTTTGAGATATGAGAAGTTGAGCCAAGAAATACTCTGACACATCATATGTCTTATTTACAACCTATCTACTGATAAAGTATGGATTTTTTTGTCAACTACTATTTGAGTGCATAGAGTTAGACAAAAAACGGTATCATCATCAAAAGGGTTGATAATTTCGATTTTACTCTGAATAATCCCAATTTATAAAGCAATAACTTCTGTTTGCCAGCTGCTCTGTAGGTTTATTACCTGATTTGAATATGGACTGTAAAATGGGTCTGAAATATTGGGTAGTAAGAAAATCCTGCTTCACTGTGCGATATATATGTAATTAACGCACAGAACTGAAACTACACTCAACCACAGTGCACAGATGTTACGCTGATACAAATACCTGACACAATCCGATCAATAAAGAAGCTGAATTTACTCAAGGTGGTTTTAGTCTGAATAATTGCAAACTCATGAAATCAGTTAGCTTAAATTCTACACATATTAGATTATTGAGTATTCCTGACTATCAAAGGATTTTATTCATGCTGAAAAGCTTTACAACGAGGATAAAGAAATATCAGTTATGCATTCTGACTGTTTAATGATAGCATCGTTCCCTGAAAGTGCAAATTGACAGTGTGTACTTTTTACCATCTTCAAAATCAGATAGAACCTAACACCAATACTATCTACTGTGCAACCAGTTTGTGTGTACAATCCACGTCAGAAGAATTTAATAGAAGAGCTTCTCAGCATGATGGTCACATTGTAAAATGATAGATACAATTCATTTAGCACTTGGGACTAAACTACATGAAGTTGGTTACCATACAATAACTAATCAACGTATCTAATCTAGTCCTACAGAAGGTCAATCGGGACCCAAATATCTCACTAGCAATATCGCTTACTTCAACGCTGGGTGACACAGGTTCGAATTTCACAGGAGAAATTAGTCGCAGACACTCCTAGTTGATGAGTGGTTTGCTGCCAATCGCCTCCATAAAACCAACAAAGTTTCCAACCGTGCAGCCGATATGTAACAGAAAATACCTATAACCATGAATTCCTGTTGATTAACATCAAATTTCTAACATCAGTTAACTAGTTTCATTCACTAAGAGACCTCAAAGATACAGTCAAATGCTTCAATACTATGTGTTTCTTATCTAAAGCATTTTCTGTAATATTGAAATGTGAAGGGTCTAGCAGCACTGTTTCATGAAATTAAGACTAAAATGAGTTCATCTGAAGATCATCTGACCTATGATATGCTGCTACTTTTAAAACTAACAATATTAAATCATAATATGCATAAAATGTCGATTACACTAAATAGTGTAACTAAGCAGCAGCACGATAAAGACATAAAATCGATGGGAATTTGGTAATAAGTAAACCGTACTATAGGTACATGTACATCAATACTGAAGTGTTAGTCAGCACACAGCAACTTAAAATTTCGTAGCTTTTATAAGGCTACTCAATTAATCAATAAGTAAAGTTATCATAAACTTGCTTATCCAAGTCAGTTGAACACATTTTTTTGATGTGAACAGCTTGGCTGAGTGAGCCAAACTTCTGTAAAGATACTAGTGATGAGCACAACTTCAGGTGAAATAGCTGTCCGGTATGTAGATCAATTTGATCTAAACAGTGAACTCTTCAGATTAACCTGTGTAGTTTCTAATCAGTCATGTTATATGCATCAGCTTAACATTGAGTTTACTCCTTTTTTATTCTGACATCACCCAGAATAGACTCAAAAATAGCTTCAGACAGGCTAACCATAGCTGTATAATCATCGTTTACTTTATAAGGTATATTTCAGCAACAAACATAGACTGTGAATAGTGATAAAAATTGGCAACAGATCAAATACGTGTGCTCACAAAAAAACAAATGAATACGTCATATTAACAAAAGGAATTGTAAAAACATTATTGTACACCCATGACAACTGACATAATTTCTTGCGTTAGCTATTTTTTTCGTACACATGCATGCTGAATGGTTGCAGTTTGCAAGTAAGAATGATAGTGTTCATCAGATGAATATATATATGACATATATGATTGCTTCCAAAAAAAGATGACGTTTCTCAGAAAACTGAGATATTTGACAGGAAGGAAATAATGATAATATGTTTACCACCTGAAAAATTAAGGAATATCAACTGTAAGAATCGAGTTCCATGAAACACAATATTAACCCGTGATTGATTTAAATCAGTAACTATTATAGTGGAGTATTTTGTAGTGAATTTACTGCAGTTTTATTGATAGCAAGTGATCAGCTTAAGTCACTAGTTAGTTAACACTGAGATCCTTGTTCGCTGTAATATTATGAGTCACACAGCAGATATTACATTTAGAAGAAAAAATTGCTTAACTTGGACTTCATTTCGTTCTACTTATGTGAGTTAAAGTAAGAATACTTCAGATGTTTATCAGCGGATGATTATGAGAATAAATAAGTGAGACATGTTAATCCGTTAAAAAAGTTATTAACATTTTGCTTGCAAATCAACTGAAACATTAAAATGATAAAATGACTTATAAGCATTCTAGAAACTTAGTGAAGATCACTTAACGTAAAATTTCAAAACAAAACTGTTAGGACAGCGTACGTTTAAATTTTGTAATCTATAAGGTATGCCTGAAGCTTAGGAAAAACTTATCAACGTCTAACTTCAAATCAGCCTTATTCACTGTTCAACTCAGAAAATCTATGATTAGGCTGCCTAAGTTACAGGTGATTCTTATTAAAACTCAATCGTTTATGTTAACTGGTCAAAAAACGACAACGCCGATGTAGCTGATCGAAATCAATAGATTAAGCCAACAATTCAGTCAGAAAAACGTTTTTCGAAAGACTGACCTACGTACACGCTACGCCATTCATTTGGAATTCCGTTGATTGATGATTCGAATTAGGCCATCCTCATGCCTTCCGAACTTCAAACATACATATATATAATGAAAAGTTGGGCAAAACAAAGTGTAGTTGTTTGGTTCAAAGTTGATTTATTGACTCAGTGCAAAAGTTTATTTTACAATGGTTACAAATGGTTACAAAAACACCAATGTTAGCTGAAAAACTAGATAAAATAATTATACACAACTTACCGATAACTCAAAATGCTAGATGTTCTAAAAGGTTGAGCAATAAGAGACACTTCTTCTAGTTGCATTCTATAAGAATAAGTGTAAGAAACCATTAACCGACGGGAAAAGCAAACATAAGCAGAATAATTTGAAATATGACCGACAACACTTCCTGCGTTATAAAATTCCTTTCTCTTCATTACTTTTGTATTTCTATTTCCAAATTAGTGCAAAACAAGGTTGTTTCAACTGATGTCTTGCTATTTAGTTTTTAAACGTTCATCAAAGTTATGATAAACCGGCATTCACAATATCTGATCGTATATGTGATAACTTGATTGAAGTTCTTCTGCGTGGTTAATGATGTCCATATTTAGCGTGATATATTTATGATGAGTGTTTGAAGTATAGACTGAGATTTGATTGTACCCCTGTACTTTTAGTTCTAATTGTATGTATGCTGGTTACGGTAGTACATAAGGGAAGGTTGAAACCAGGTCAAGTAACGCTCCATTTCCATATTTCAAGTTAGATAATTTTGATTCCAGTTTATGTGGTGAGATTCTGTTATGAGACGTTCCTTATAATTTCTAAAGCCTTTTTAAATAATTTGGATATTATCCAACTCGACCTTGTGAACTAAAATTATAGCGTGTAAAGATTCGGCTGAAGAGTTTTCAAACTTTTTCAGCTCCACTAGAGTCGGATGGAAGCTCTTCAGTATTCCTGTTTTCTAAATTTGATTTTATTGGAGGTTCGTTCCACGCACAATACGTCAAAGTCTGAGCATTTTACTTTATGAAAATAATTATGTTGGGGATCTAGAGGATGTTTATCCTTTACATGGACTAAGGTGCTATGTAATGTATTTGATGTTCTATTCATTCTCAAAATGGAAAATACTATCAAACTGGGTCACAGCATGGATCACAACAAGAGTCATCTCGTATATGTCACAAACTCGTCGTTTCCCATTTGGGTTCCACTCGGCGGCCTGGCCTGGCGCATGATGTCCTCAGTCGGCCTTCTCAGTGTACGCCCAATCCATCTCCACTTTCTCCTGTATATTTGTTGGGCAATAGGTTCTTGGTTGGTTCGTTGCCGGACCAGAGTTCTTTGTTGCTTATTCTTTCTGGCCATCTGATCTTCAGTATCGAGCCAGCGTAGGCAGCTGCTGATGGATGTCTGTATTTGTTGGAAGTGCCTTTCGTGACGCGCCAAGTTTCTATACCATATAGCAGCACTGACTTCGCATTGGTGTTAAAAATATGGATCTTGTTCTTTGTGTTGAGTGCAGTGAGTCTCCACAGTGATTTCAGATTAATGAAAGCCTGTCTTGGTTTACCGATCCTGGTTTTGACATGCTAGTTTGTGCCACCTGTAGTTGAAACGAAGCTGCCTTGCCTAGGTAGGTGAAAGAGACTACTTCTTTAGGTTTCTCTAGTTGATGGTGATCGATGCTTGTTGTTCGTTGGGTATCTTCTTCTCCTCCATCTTCTCTAAATTCACGTGAGGTCCCGTTTTCGTTGCCTCTTCTGTCAACTTGTTAGTTTTTGCTTGTAGATCTTCGAGTCTGCGCGACATTAAACATAAATCATCGGCGAAATCCAAATTCTCTAGGCTCTTTTCATCGATCCAACGTGTTTTACAAAACATATGCGGTAAGAACTATCAGCACAGAGGTACAAAGAAATCTCAATCTGTAATTCACGCACTCCTCTAACATAGCACACTAAATAGAGACATCATCCATGCAGAAAAACTAAAATCAAGTTATAATAAATAAGCTTGAATATTATGAATTATCATGTACTATAACTTTGATAAAAGTTTTAAAACTAAATAGCGAGACATTAGTTGAAACGACCGTGTATGTTTTACATTCATTTGAATACCAAATTGATAAATTCAATATCCCAAATACATATTGGTCAGAATTCTGTCTGTTTGGTGGTCAAGTGGTCGAAATTATTCTACACTTAACCATTCAACAAAATCAGCAAAGTTAGTCAACTCGAGTATAGCGAATTAAGGATGTTGATCACGAAGAATAAATCTACTCTTTAAAATGCAGATGATCAGTGTAAACGAAAAATGTGGGCTTCACGGTGGAATAACTATAAGGTGTGGAGATGAAAGACTGTCTATGTGAAGTTTGCTTTAAGAATGAGTGTTACAGATGCCAGAAGAAGTAGATCTTAAATAAGAACCTCTGCTTCGAATCGTACAACAGGGGAAAAGCCAACCTACAGAATTAGCCCAAGAAAGCATACAGAAAACGCGAGGTAATACTTGACCAAAGTCCAGTATCTTGTATTATCAAAAAACATTTGCTCCTTTTCTGATGGAACAAACTCTTTTCCAAAGTTGCTGTACAACAGTCTACAGTCAGTCCATTAGTTTTTATTTCCTAGTTTTCCCAACAGTAGTCTTATAGGTTATTGTACTACCTAAAATAGTATGATTTAGGCAATCAAGATGATTAAAAGCAGTTCTGAGACTTTTATCGAAGAAACAAAATAGGCTGCGGATATGTATCATGGTGGATGATAGGGGTGTATTTTTTATGAACATCATGCTGAATCTTAATACTTTCAACAGAAGGAAAGATACAGTTAATTATCCAACCAATTTAAATGATATATCTCAAACAACATATTGTATCCAATCATAACTACAATACGTACACATACAGAAAATGGATTTATCATTAAGACTTCTTTTCTCTTGTATAATCCTATCCACTCAATATGCATACATTCATATTTTATCTTGGAATCACGTACTACAAATAGGTAACGATAACATGAAATACCATTTTGCTGGTTTTGCGTGCAAGTATAAAAAACGCAGTCTGATTCGCTTTCACTCACTAATTAAACATGCGATAACGCATACAGACTTTATTCTGCAAAGAAGCAGCTTCTTTGACGTAGTGAAATGTCAGAAACCCATTTTTCTACTTCCCTTATTATTATTATTAGTCCCTTGGGTTCCTAGTGAAACATAGGGCTTCAGTAGCACGTCTCCATTTCATCCTGTTCTCTGAGATCTTTTGAACCTGGTTCCACGACAGCCCACAAGCTCTCATTTCCTCCTCGCACGACCTCCTCCATGTCACCCTTGGACGTCCAACTCGTCGCTTCCCATGGGGATTCCACTCGAGGGCCTGACGCGTGATGTCCTCAGTCGGCCTTCTCAGTGCATGGCCAATCCATCTCCACTTCTTCCTGCATATTTGTTGCGTGATAGGTTCTTGGTTGGTTCGTTCCCAGAGCTCCTTGTTGCTTATTCTTTCTGGCAATCCATCTGATCTTCAGTAGCGAGTCAGTGTAAGCAGTTATTGATGAATGTCTGTAGTTTATTGGAAATCCCTTTCGTGACGCGCCAAGTCTCTGAACCATACAGAAGCACTGACTTGACGTTGGTGTTGGTGTTGAAAATCCGGATCTTGTTCCACATGCTGAGTGCAGAAGATCTCCACACTGGTTTCAGGCTCATGAACACCTGTCTTGCTTTTCCGATTCTGACTTTAACGTCCTCGTCCGTCCCGCCTGTAGTTGAGACAGTGCTGCCTAGATAGGTGAAGGAGGTAACTACCTTTAAGTTTCTCCCGTTTACGGTGATTGGAGTTTGTTGTTGTTGTTGGTGGTGGTGGTGGTGAGGTATCTTCATCACCTCTGTCTTCTCTATATTCACCTGAAGTCCCGTCTTAGCTGCCTCTTCTATCAACTTGTTAGTTTTTGCCTGCAGATCTTCAAGTTTATGTGACATCAGGCACAACTCATCGGCGAAATCCAAGTCTTCTAGGTTCTTTTCCGCCGTCCAGTGTATCCCCCTCTTTTCACAGCTCCCCACTGTTTGCTGCATGATCCAGTCGACCACAATCAGGAATATCATGGGGGATAGTAGGCAACCTTGTTTCACTCCTGTCTTCACTTCACTTCAAAAGTATCACTGAGCTTCCCATTGTGAATTACTTGGCTGGCATGTGGCGTCTTCATATAGTTGTTGAATGAGGCGGATAAAGGTTTGCGGTACTCCGTAGTAGTGAAGCAGCTTCCAAATTACTTCTCGGTCGACGCTGTCAAAGGTCTTCTCGAAGTCGATGAAGTTGAGGTCGAGAGCTGATTGCCATTCTATGCTCTGTTTTATGATGATGCGTAGTGTAGCGTCACAATTTGGTCTGCACATGATTTGTACTTCCTGAATCCAGCCTGCCGGCCTGTTCCGGTCGTAGTTTTGAATCCAGTGCATCCTTGACCTCTCCAGGATGATGCGGCTTAATATTTTACTTGCTCCAAGTGGACAGGAGAGTGATTCCGCACCAGTTCTTGCAAACACTGAGGTCTCCCTTCTTTGGCAGTTTGACAAGGTAACCCTTCTTCCAATCATTGGCCAGGTACCTTCTCTTCCTTCCACGCCTTCTGCAATAGTGGTGTGAGCATGTCCGCTGTTGTCTCTGTGTCTGTTCTCAGTGCTTCTGGCGGGATCCCATCTGGTCCTGCTGCTTTCCCTCATTTCAGTAGCTTTATGGCGTTCACGACTTCCATTTTCGTTGGAGGATTTATGTTCACTTGTAATTCAGCGGCTGCAGGTGGTATTTCTGGACGAAGTGCAGGTGGTGGTCGATTCAAGAGCTTTTTGAAGTGGTCGGTCCATTGTTTCCTCTGTTTCTCTTCTTTCGTGACTAAATTTCCTTCTTCATCTTTTATTGGTTTCATCTGTGTTGATCTCTTCCCTGATAGCAACCTGGTTATTTGATACAATGTCGTCAGGTCTCTCCTACCTGCAGCCTGTTCTGCTTCACTTGCCAGTGTGTCGTAGAAGTGTCTTTTGTCTTTCCAGACACTCTTCTTCACTTCTTTCTCCAGTGTAGTGTTTTATACATTGTACTCAGTTCCGCTTCTCGTTGTGCATCCTTGCACTGGTTTATCTTCTGCTTCACCATCCTCCTCTCCCCGCTCTATCAGCTTCCAGGTATCCGTCGAGATCCATTCCTTGTCTTCTTTCTTCTTCCTTCCTAATACTGTTGTGCAGGTTTCTTTCCACATAACTTTCAAAAACTTCCAGTGTTCTTCCATACAGGTTTCTTCAGGTATGTTCCTCGATATCTCCTATTTTGTCTTGATGGCTGACAGATGTGAAGATTTCCTCTGTAGTTTCATCCTTCAGTTTCCGAGTGTTGTACTTGAATTGAGGTCTATCACCAGCTTCCTTGAAGGCTTTTAACTTGATTTGGAAGGTTCCTTGCACTAGACAGTGAGTGGTGTGAACCTACATCTGCTCCTCTTCTTGACCTTGTGTTAAGTAGACTGCATCTCCATTTTCTTGAGATTGAGATAAAGTCGATTTGATTTTTAGTGTGTCCTGGTGTCTGGTGAAATCCATGTCGCTTTGTGGATATCTTTGTGCCTGAACACACTGCCTCGCCTCCAATCACCAAATCGTTGAATGCGCAGAATTCTGCAAACAATTCTCCATTCTCATTCATTTCACCTAGCACCTCTCAACCCATGGTTAGTTCTCTTCCTGTGTTGTCCCCTCCCAATTTGGCATTCATGTCACCCATTAGAATTTTGATATCGCCAACTGACGTCTTGTCCAGTGTTGATTGAAGTTGTCTGTAGAATTCCTCCTTTTTCTCTTGCTCTGCATTATTTGTAGGTGCATGGAGTAGCATTGTATGATTGTGACCTTCCTTTCTTTTCAGTTGAATCTTGCTGTCATGATCCTGGAGGAGATTGGTTCCCACTGCATGAGAGCCTTCGATGCTCTTGGGGACATCATGATAGCCACTCCATAACTCAGTGTGCTGTTTTCGTGGTTGTCGTCTGGGTGACAATATCCGAGTAGATTATTGATTCTCCAGTTGACAGTTTGGAGAGTCCACTCCCATTCCATCTGCTTTCGCAAATCCCAAGCACTTCGATGTGATACCTTCTCATCTCCTTTGCAATCTGGGCTGCCTTACTGGGTTCAAACATCGTGCGGACATTCCATGTCCCCACGTTTACTTTCGCTTTCATCGAGAGAAGACACATCGGCCAATTGGCTTCCCGAAGGCTTTCACCAACTGGCGTCATTTCGCCTCTCCGATTTCAGCGGGGAATAAGTTTGTTTTCATTTTTTATATTTTGTTTGTGCTTTGAAGTTTCTTTAGCGGTTAGATTTGTTTTACGTGGTAGGGTTGCTAGCCCTATGCCCAACCTTCCCTCTTTACCCGGGCTTAGGACCGGCTAGTAACTAGTGAACTAGTTAATCAGGCGAGGTTTTTCTACTTCCTCAGGATTTTATAATTTTTTTCTCGATAATTTGGATTGGTATAATGTTCTAGTACCTATGAATACATTTAACTTTTTGTTGCTGGAAAAAAGTGTGAAATTCGCCTTAAACCCGTATAAAAGAAACTCATTTTTCATACGAATTTGGATTCTGAATTAACATCAGTTTTCAGTGCTATCGTTTGGTGTCATGAGAGGTATACTCATTTTAAACTAAAAGTTGTCTGTAAATTGAACATATAAGCATTCCATAAATAACAATAAACTGGCAGTTCACTTACTCTTTAAATGTTTTACAGTTGAGCGCACGTAGACAGAGGGTTTTTGCTTCGGAATAAGATTTACACTTGAAACCAAGAACCATATTTTTTTCTTCTCCAAGCTAAAAAAAAGATGAGTAAAATCTAACGTTAAAACTTGTATAACTTTCAACTGAACAGTTGTGGTCAGGTAGCCGTACTGTTCCATTTTTAATTCAGAAAAGTTTCTTAATGTTTAACAAGGACGTTTTGGAATTCGCAATAAGTAGGTGGTTAGTTAAAACTGCAATACAAATACATCAGTTGGGTATCACTGAAATATAAGACCAATGGAATATAAAATATAAAGTATTGTTAATTCCAGAAGAATGACACTCATAGGAGTTTGATTTAACTGAAGCAAATTAATGTATAATAAGAACCAAATATTTATCTTCATTTAAGTGGCATATCTAGTGAAATATAATGCTGTTCTAAGACTTAAACCATGACAAAAGATTCCTTGGAGCATTTACGTTAAGGTTTCAAAGGAAAGAACTAAAACAAAGCCGTTCTACATCTGTTGTCAAGTACCACACTTTTGTAAGGAAATACGCTTCACAAACGACCAATAAGACTATCATTATTTGCTTTAATATTCTTTCTAGTATATCATTTCTTGCTTTACAACGAAAAGCTTTGAGTAGAATAAGTGTATTTTTTCATTCTCTTATTGTATAAAACGACTGATAATAAGAGGATAAGAGAAAAAAAGGTCAGAAAGTGAAGTTAACCATAAAAAACTTAATTATGTAAGTCAATTGATGATTAAAGGGATCACTGATGATGACATAACATTCTAGTAATACCGATTTGCTGAAACGTAAGATATAAAATGATATTTTCAATCTAAAATAAGTAGTACATAATTGAGTTGGATTGGCTGATTGCAATGTTGTAAATAATGATTAAGTCAGTTTTTTTAATCACTCAACCTTCAGATCCTTTAAGACGAATAATATTCAGTAATTCAACAACCAGCTTGATAAGTTGTGATTCAGAGTATAATGAGCAGTTTCATTTCCTTTTTTTTGTATCAACTACAAAAAATAACGATGATTCGGCAGTACTGTTGATTTGTTCGTCATGATCTATAATGTTTCGAAAGCACAACTTTATGTTCAAGATTTTACAGTCTTGAAACTGATATTTTTCGACCTCAATGTATATTTCTAATTAAAGATCTACTTATAGGATATGGTACACACTAAGACGGAATTATTCAAAAGGTATTGAGCAGGTGAATTACGCAATAAGTCGCTTTGTCGAGAGGATATAAAATGTCAGATTCAGTAATGAAGAGATCTGCTGAAAAACAGTCCGGAGAGATGAACCTACTCCCTGAAGGTCATATGGTTGACTTAGAGTATGGAAACGAGATAATACTGCTAGATGAAGACGCTGAAGCAAAACGGGGTCTCCAGAACTCGTTGATCAAAAATATGAGTACGTTTGCTGTGTTTCGCTGGCACCTATGAAATGTAACATGAAGCTGCAGGACTGGTCTGCAGCTAACTCCAGTTTAGTGATAAGGAGTGAAGTGGTGGAATGGGTCGACCACTTCAGTTACTTCAAAAGTTGCATCGGACTGAACAGACTAGTTGCTAACTTAATCTCAACTCGGATACAGAAGTTCCGTTTTGCATTTACCAACTTACGTAGTCTCTGACAAAGACTGGCGACATATCCGACTGTCTATCAAAGGACGAGTATACTGCACTGCAGTTCTTTCGGTACTGTTGTGCTGCTGTAAGACATGACCGTTTGAAGTAGAAGACAGGAAGCGATGATAGAGTGTTGACCACAAATGTCTTCATAGTATTGCTTGCATTTGGTGGAATTACCTTCTGAGCAGTGTCGAGATGAGGTGAAGGGGTACTAGACAAGAAAGGCAAATCGATTGATGAGGTCGTGAACGTTCATTGTCTGAGATGCCTTGGACATATAATGTGCATGCCTAGCAACCGCCCAACTCGACGTGACATGCTAGAGGAAAATGATTTAGGTTGGAAGAGGTTTCAGGGTGGCAAGACCGAAATAAAGTGCCGAAATGTTGGTCTGAGCCGTATGGAGAAACGTAGACTACCTGGACGGGAATCAGTAATTGAGGACTCTTGGTGGCATGGTTGAAAATCGATCACAATGAAGCAGATGTATTGACTCCTTGGCATCTTCTGAAACTTGATTATTTACGCTAACCGTTATCTTCAGATTTTTTGTTCTGTTACACTAGTTTATTCACTTTGATATCACTCTTTTCCTATCCATCTGTTCTTTGTATACCATTATGAAATGTGGTGACTTGAGCTGATGCACTTGTGTGTGAGGTTCTACGTTGATTTTGTCAGTTAGTCAGTTTGAAACATGTTGCATTCTCCAGATTATTTCTAACAAATGGCTTGGGAAACATATTCTCCATAATGCACAATTCTTTGCAACTAATCGTATTCATACAAACCAGATCGTTATTGAATAAATTTTGTATCACTTATAAAACAGTGAAAAACTGGGTTTTATTGCAGAAAATAAGACATAATGCAATGTGATTCAATAACTGATGAGGCTTTGGAATGATGTCATGAACTACATTTAGTGTGTTACCTGATTGCCTAATCTGCAGTAACTGAAATTAGTTCAAACTTGTAACCTGATGGTGGATAATTTATTTCCAGGTCACTTTTCTACAACTTCAATCAAAATAACACGATAACTCAAAGCACTTTGTAGTTACAAAGGAATTTACCTCTCCACGACTGACAATGAGAACCAGGTTCTTTTTAGCCGGATAGATATTTTTAATAAATCCCCTGTGAAATTAAAACAAAAAGAAAAAAAACTTAAGAAGTAATGAAAACAACTCCAGAATTGAACACTCACAGGGATATGCTATACGGTACAAATAATGTGCAAACGTGATTGAAAAGATGGTCTATCGAATTAAAAATCTATCCACTCAAATGAATATATTTATTGGTGAGAAAAAACAAAAATTGTCATGATCTAACGCTGAATGAAACAAGAATGAGGTTGAAGTACTGGAAGATATCAGTCTATTGCTTGCTTATCAAGCAGAATCGGAAGTAAAACTGATAACTAGTTTACATTTAGGTGTAAACGTTCAGATTATAAGTGCACCGAATCACTAATTCATGAGTAGCTGTTTCATTTTCGTCTTCATGGGAAACAAGGCTAACACAAATAGTGTTGATATGCCTAAATATCTTATACAAATGTTCCATAAAGTCGAAAACATTGTTTGCTGGAAGCATATATTACGAGGGTTAAGTGTTACCTTACTAGAAAGAAACCGTTTAATTGTGATTCAAAAACATTCGTTATTATCTCTCCTGTCATCTATGGAGTCGATAGTGTTTATGGATCACAGTATTTCGTCAAGTTATACTCTTAATGTAGAATGTTTAGTAGGAAACTTATGCATCAATTTCATTACATGAATTCTCTTACTAGCTAAATTTCATCTGAATATTTCCATTGCCAGAGAATAGTGCCCACTAACAGTCTTCACAAACTCGCTGTATAGTATTACCAAGAAAGTGATAAAACCATTACGTATGCGGTACATATATTTCTATCTTCGAGTAACATACAAATGCTTAACACACTCCAATCTAACCCCCGTTAACTTGATTTTAACGTAGTGCATTCAACTCAGTATTTGTTGGAAATAGTGCTCAACATATCCAAATGTGTGATGTTTTACCACAGACGTAAAATATCTTAAACTTAAAGTGTCAATAGTACAAGGCAAGTTAGATATTCTGTACTTGAAGTAGAAATTAAAATAATAATCACATTCGAATTCAGAATTTCAATCTTTATCTCTGCAGAAGATGTTTCTGCATTTAAGTGGTGAACTGTGAGTTCAGTCTTACTTCGAAGGAGGACTATTCAACTCATAGTGAGATACAATCAAACTAATTTACTTGGTCCTGATTAGTATAGATGACTGTTTTGGACTTCATTGCTAGCCACCACTGAACGCAGAAAGAACAATGGCTTGCCCTCACAAAAACGCAGACTACCAATACTGTGATCAACTTATAACCCTAAATACTAACAGCAGGAAAGATCAAAAGTCCTTAAACATTGTGACTGGGTTTTAAGTATCATTCAATTCATCAAGGGAATATCAGATGTGTGGTACGTGACTTAGAGACAGACTCACAAAAAACGTTTACCAGATTTAAGACGGTACTAACCCAACAGAACAAAGTTACATACTCTATTGCATAGCACACGGTATATGCGAATAAGTCAAAGTAACCATCTAGTTTCAATCAAGTTAATAACAGTGTTGTAAATAACAGTGGGTCCAGCCAAAGAAAACACTGGCCAAACATACAAACACACCATTACACCGTAAGATGAAGCGAAAGAGTACGTCTAAATATCAACAAATTTCCAAAGAAAGAGAGTTTATTCGTTGCATCTTTGTTCGTCGAGCAAACAACACACATGTGTCATTGCATAAATAAGTATTAAGCCCAGAGAGATGGGAAACCTGATTATGATTAAACTCAAAGAATATGTAACAACACTTTGAGTAAAACCAGTTTTTGAAAATGTTGCAATTGCCTAGATATACTTAATTATTATTATTATTATGTCCAATAAGTAACCCACCAACTGGTACCATACCATTACAGGTCGCTTCCAATAAACGAATCTGACACTGAAATATTACTGTATCACAAGATCTATGCACCATTGCTTCATTTTTTTTATAAAACAAATATATATATATATATATATATATACCCGGTTTCAAAGTTCCCGTGTTATTGAATTTCGAAAGTCACCGTTTACCAGACTTAATCCAAGACCATTTTGATGCTCTACAAATCACCACATATCATTGTTTTTTATATTCGTAATTTCCCGTTGCTATACAAGGCCAAATCGCTCGACTTTTGTTGGTAGATAGGATCTCATGCGGATGCCTTAATACTGCAGTGCATTTATGTTATATTTATCTTGGTGACTAGCAGTGGAATCCAGGACACGGGTTTCTTCCTATTTAGGAAGTGTTAGCTGGATGTATAAACACATCAGTGTGTGATGTTGTTGCCAATGAGACTCAAACCTGGTGCCCATCACCTCAAACGCCAGAGATTATCTACTAGACCAATGGTGTACGACAGCCATGTCTTATGAAGTGGGTAACAGTTTTTGTTTGATACATGTAATTTTCAGTTGTTATGCCGGGCCTAATTGCTCGAGCTCCACTGCTAGTCACCAAGATGAATATAACGTCATGAACATTCAGTAGTAGCGAGGCATATACATAACAGTCTATCTGCTAACAGAGATCGAGTAATTGGACCCTGTAAAGTAACGGGAAGCTACAAGTAGTAAACAACTGAGCCCCATTTCCACAAGAGGTGGCCGTTTCGTCCCACTGTCCTCGTGAATAACTCTGGCGTTTGAGGCAATGGGTACTGGGTTCGAGTCTCAATGTGAACAGCATCACTCACTGAGGTACAAGATCATCCAGGTGACGAGTCCCAAATTGGACTAAATACGCGTCCTGGATTTCACTGTTAGTCGCCAATATGAATATATCACTATATATCATTTAAACGTGACAGACAAATGCATGTACTCTAGTTAAGGCTCTTTCTTTTCCTATGTAATCGTTTTATTATCCTGAGAAACTGTAAAATATCATTCAAGGCGTTATAATTGTACTATGGTGATTAAAAATATTGACAGTAAATACTTAAGACAAGTCATTATAATGTTTCATATCTATTTCCTAATCTATTCTCTGTTTCTCATGCAAACAAATGCCTACACTGTTTATCACGTTTCACAGTAATTCTAAAAACAGGAATCTACAAATTTCACCTAAAACAATGCAACTTTGTTTGTAAACTTGTAAAACTTAAGCAGAATTTCTATAATAAGATATGTGGCCTAATAGAGTATAAATTAGTCACCCGATACCATTGTGATCGCTTGTTCAAAATACTTGAAAAATACTATTTTTTGCAAGTAGACAAAAACAATGGTCGACTAAAAAACGTTCAATACACCAATAGTCTTAGTAATTTAACAAACGTTGCTAAATAGGTATCCTAAGGCGCTTCTTATATGAAAAACTGAACTATTCTTTATCGCTGCATTTTTGCAAATACTCGGGTTATAAATAACAAGGTGATATGGTAAAGCGAAAGGAATAGCGATGTTTTTAAAAATTCTAGGTAATATATATCTCTTAGTAAAAATGGATGAAAAAATGGGCAAAAATTGTACTATTTACCACATATACTGCGTTCCACTAGAATCTAGATTTTTGTGCCTACTAGTAAGTGAATATGATCGAAATTTTTCAAATTTTCTCATATTTATGATGTATTTATTCGATCATTTTACTTTTCATAGTCACTATCAATCATGCAGCTTAGTAACCATGATAATATGAAGGAAATAAGAGCTACTTTGTAGTTCGACAGTTCATTCAAACCATTACTGTTGTTATGAAGTGACGATTATGAGATTAATTTTTTTTTCTATCCTAATTTCAGATTAAACCTTGGTGGAACAAATTAGCAGTTTCTTTGAATGTCACCCAAAAAACGATCAAGTCATGCTACACCATTCGCTTCATATCAGTAGGAATAATGTTTGGAGTATACAGAAACGTGTTTTGATTCTTATGCTCAAAAGCAGTGAAGATGGTGGTATGATATTTAAATGATTTGATGTTGAACCTACATCTCAAAATGAAAATGAATTCCAACTGCCATCCACTCACATATAACTGGTGAACTAGGAATATAACATAAATTTACCAAAGGCTTTCACTAATAACACTGCAAGATAGCATGGTACAATACTACGCAAAAAGGTAGCGGATGGATGCTAGGTGGCACTTTAAGAGCCATATCTTCAATCTACGTTAATTTGGCAATGAAAAAACTTAATATTTCATAGAGATTTGTTGAATATTTCAGTGTTAGGCAATCTATATACTTTGAATACTGAAGTCATAACAATCGTTACTTCATGCTGGTTCCACTGAGAAATTCAGTAAAGTCACCTTTCGCAGCTTTGAACTAAGTAACATTAATGGTGTGAAACATAACTGTTTTATCACAGAACACAAGTGAAAGTAAACAAAGTTATTCTTGAAATTATAACAGTTTAGTGTTTCGTTAATTAAAAAGAAAAGGTTTTTTTACTAGTTAATTAAATCAATTTAACGCAAAATTCTTTAGTAAATACCTTCAATCAATAGTTATGTAATGATTCTTAAAAGTATAAAATAACTCTAGCATTAGTCATAGAAGCACAAAAAACAAAGTTTTATAAATTCATATAGTTGCTTCACTCCCACGCATGCACTTTTTTCTGTTTGTCTCTTCATCTATTCCGGTTTGATGCAACTACCTTATGTAATATACTGATCACAGTTGCATAACTCATTAAGTTTAGCGTAGTTGTCTCATTTCTCAATCGAAAAGAGATACACCAATTAAGTAATTATTCTCATAGATAATGTGATATAAGTAGTATCGTATAAGCAAAAATTTATACTACATCTATGTGAAATTGAAGCTAATTTATGTTATTGGATACTTTAACTGGTAACCGAAGACTACTAAACACGTACACGTGCTTGCACGACAATACAGATAACACTTTGCAAAACTGGAAAACACTAACTTATGGTGCAGGTTTTGGAACTGTAAAACAATGCTTTGAAGTTCGATAGTGGAAAAACCCCGTTGAGCATTCCAAATAGTTGTCAGTTACAAAGAAACGAACAAATTCAATTTATTCAGCCCTAAGTTCTGACTAAATTTTATCAACCAAGTTTACAATATGGTCAACAGACCAAGAGACTTGGCATAATGGTCAAATCTTAGAAATGAGACGAAATTTCTAACAGATAAGTAGTTTTTCAGCTATAGTGTCGATAAGGTTAGCATTCGAAACCGCTCGGTCAATATTAAAAATTGTGATATCTGACACAAAAGTATCATGAACTTCAAAAATATACCCATTCCAGTTCAGCTGTTAGAGAATCTGTGGGCTGAACTCCACTGATGAGTTCAGCTTTAAATGACAAAAACAGTTGTCTGGTGTTAAGATTGCTCAAATTTGACCAGCGAAACCTTCAGATCAGCTTATGTAGCTTAAACGTACTCAGGTTCTTCATCAGTATATTTCTACCGTAAATAATTTTAAATTGTGACTGATTGAAGCATCTAATTTAGTAATGACCAAATAAATCCCAATGAACTGGGTGGTAATTTCCGGATTTCAGCACTATATGACACAGGTTTGGATTTATGAACATACATATGTATTTTTGATATCATATGAAAGCCTCCATCGTAAAATGACATCATTTCAGATTAGTCACAGAGAATCAGTCCCTTTCAACCATCTTGAGTCCTTCAACTGATGGTCGGAGTAGGCTCCCGTTTTCAAAATATACTACAACTTTCAGATCCCCAATAGATCTGTATGAATATAGTCATTAGGTTTATTGTTATTTATGAAGTGACAATGATTATGAATGATAATTCGGTTAATCAGAAAAATTCGATGGAATGCAGTTTAGCGAATTTATTCTCTGTTATTGATCACAAAATCAGAAACCAAAATTAATACTTTGAAATGCAGTTTACTTGCTCTTGTGGTGCCGAGTACATTAGCCTTGTCATGAGCCAGCCTGTGAAACGCGTTCATGAACACTATCCAACTTGTCTGACAAGCGTAGAAGAGATAAGCATCTTCAGCTGTGCAACAAAATACTTAGTAAGCTCATGAGATTTGGTCCCTTTTAATAAGTCCTTCGAAATTTTGTACAAAGTGAGACCAAATAACTTGAAAGGATTGAGACATAGACATCTACGCGTACCTGAAGCACTAGAGATAAAATAGTTTAAATCATCATTATTCATTCAAAAGAAATATGCGCAACCTATTTCTTTGCCACGGTCACTGTAGATTATCGATCACTCTAAATGACCCATAGAAAACATATCTATTTTGTTCATAAATATTTTGCTTACTTCCCCACTAAGTAACTTTCCCTTGTGATGCAATTTACATTGACCTTTGACCAGAAATTCCTCTAGCATGTTCTATCATTCTTACCATATATTCATGAATGTTGAATATATAACTTACCATTCAAAAACGTTGATGCTGCAACCATCTTTGAAAATTGAAATGCCTTTGTGATTGAAACCAATACATAATCCGTTTTGTCGTTGATCCTATGAATTACAACAACACAGAGACTTTAAACTTAATAAAATTGTACTTAGCTACACGAAATAAAAATAAAATTATGGCCTAGTGAAATGATAAATCGATCCTCCAAAAACTTAGGGACAATAGGAATTACTATTTAGGTGCTTAGGATGAGAAAATGTTTTGTAAATCCTCTTTCCTTAAGTTACTCATTTTGTAAACCAATAAAACTATCAGAATGAGATGAAACGTGAATTAAAACTTAAATTAAAGGTTTCAGAGTGCAATGCCTCGTTTAGATGACTTACAACAACGCTGTCCGCTCGACTTCTTTATAAATATTTCACCGATAAACTTGCCGACTTTATGTATTGCAATTCATTTATGGAAGGTAAATCTCGGTTATGCAGGATTTATCTGTTGAAACCATGCCCCTGGCATAGAAGAATACTTTCTAGTGCTTATTTTTTTTCTTTCATCATCAACTTGAAATTCTTGATTAGATTATCTAACAGTATCATCTCTATTCTAATCGAGTCATTTTTCGGTATTGAAATGTCATATAGAGAGAATAAAAGAAACTAATTTCGATGATACAAAATGAATCTGTGGCAGAGAGGGCTTTATGATGGCCATAGCGAAGATAAAGGTTGGACGTATCTTTTTTGTACGCATAACACTGGTTTGAACTTCTGGATGGCTAGTGCTTCAGCTGCAGACAGATGCCTTGATTTCACTTCTTTCGAGTTGTTTGGTCGAACCCTATAGATAACTTTGAATGAGCTCTCGAAAGGAGCTAAATGGCCTGAGTTCATGAGGTATTCTGTTATCGAACTGAAGATGCATTTCCGTTCTCCCTTTGCAAGCCAGGCTGGTTAGTGTTCGCGGACAAGTTTTACAAGTGGACGCATGGACGTATACGTGCAAAAAAGATACGTCCAACCTATATCTTTGCCATGGCCATCATAAAACCCTGTCTGCCACAGATTCATTTTGTATCAGGTAACTACACATGTATACCTAATTTCAATGACTAGTTTTATCTGTTGACAAATGTTTATCCATGATCATTGAGGAGACAAAAATACACATGCTACCAGTTAAAGGTGCTTAAAATGGCATAATCACAAGATTTTGAGACAAGAATCAAGAAGAAAAAATTCGGAGCCAGTATTATGGAGTGTGTGAACAAACGTGTTTCGTATGTGTATAACAGTAAGGTACAACAGTCAACTTATGATTCCGACAGTATTGTTTTGAGCCCCACAAGGATGAACATTTTCACTATCATCACATATTAAGTCGTTTTGTGCTTCATATGGTAATTTAAGGTTTTGAAGTAAGGCAGAAAATTTGTAAGTCATTGGATGGTTAGGGTTAGGGTTTTAAAGGCTAACAGGTTGAATCAAAAAGCTCTGTAGATCATTATTGCAGCCTGCTTGAACTTTAAGCTACTAATAAAATTTTCTATCGGATAAATTTTATCAAATTCTTCGTATTCGAATTGTTTAAATCTCTGAGATATGCCCTGTAAAATTATCACGTGCTGTCTTACATTTGTAAAATGTTCTTAACTAGGCACTTTTCTAGTTAATAACAAAACGAAGGTGGCAATGAACTTTTACATGCACAAAAATTCATCATTCTTTATTCTTCGGATACTTATTTCGAATAGCACATCATTTTACTAGTTGAACAAACCACCAACACCACTAAACTTAGACTCGCTTTACTCTTCATTCTGAATTCTAGACTAAACGCTACTCTAATACCAGCTGGACTGCTCCATATTGTTGCTTTTATTGTTGTTGTTATGAGCATTATTCAGGCAAAATAATCATTCTGTTTGAAACTATTGTTTTGTGGATGAATTTGTTAAAGTATCCTAAGAATTCTATGCAGTATCAAGCATATTGTTTGGAATAATATTATTATTCAGGACAACACTATCATTACGAATATCACTGGTGAAGAATTTTAGATTCAACAAAACAATAAAGTGTTTAGAGTGTTCAACTAATTTGGACGAAATAGGTACTCTAGAAAAAGCAGTTTTACGACGACTAAGTTATTAAATATAACATAGAACCACAATAACGGACACTGCGGGATAGCATCAGAAACGCAAAATTAAAATATGGCTGGAGTTATGTTTCATGAAGATAGAAATATATTTCTGAAAGGGAGATTTCGTAAGCAATCATCACTTTTAGACAAATCATGTCAAGTAACAAAGAATAACGTTGTGCAATAAATTTGAGAACAAAATATCATAAAACAGCTTTCTTGATTGTGTAGACAGGGTGGAATTTGTTCAACAACGTTCACGTAAAGCAGTAACGATAAACTTGACTGTTCCTAGCTGAAAGCAATGGCGAGTTGACTGAGTATATTAGTATGTTAAATCAAAGAAATATTTCACCACCAGAGAAAAGTTTTGACTCATATAACAAAAACTCTCTGAAAAATATTAGTACAGAATAGGGGTTTTACTTTCACTTAAACATATTCATTTAATCATATTTTGATACTGGAATCATGTAGTTAGTTTACTATCTCTGTTCCCCTCCAGAAACGTTTTTCTATTCACCTTTACTTATGCTTCAGTAATACTTACAAAAACATACAAAAAAAGTTGCATAATGCTGCAATGACTGCAGTTGGGTGCTCAGACACTGCACTATCTTAGATATTTGACGATAATATCATACAAGAGAAGGCAAATGATGACAAGCTTTGGTATTCTGAGTTAATAAATCAGACTTTATTTTAAAGATGTAAGATCGAGGGGTCTAAACCGGAAAACTAGGAGAAAATTGTTTGGTTCATTTTTCTCGAAATAAAGTTAAAATAAGGGTTTTATTCAGAATGTATTTAAAGACTAAGCATTTTACCACGTTTTGAGGAAAGTAACTTCCACTTAAATAGATTTAATGTATTGATTTTTAGAGGAAGTCAAAGATTCACGACCAACAGCGCTATTTTTAATATTACAACTGAAAGAGTGCAAGAAACCGCTGAATAAAACAGGAAATCTAATAGAACCACACAGTCATTAAGTTGAAATCAGAAGTACTAATGATGATTGCAATAATACGCATATCCTTTGCTCTTTACAACTGCATAAAGTGGAAATAAACTTAAAACAAAAGTAGGTAAAAAACAACAATAAATGCATTGTTGGTATGCAAAGATCAATAAAGAAATCGATCAACGAGTTGACAAACAATAATTTTCAAGGACATTAACTTCTTGACAACATTATGATGGATCAAAGAGATTGCATTACCAATTATAATGAGTACACTGGTATCCGATAGTAATAATCTGTGCCTGCAAAATCGAAAATATATTACTCCACTACCAACTCGAAATTAAAAACGCAAAATCAATAACACTGAAATTACACTTTTTTTTTCTAAAGTAAGACTGAATTACTCAGAAATCTTTCCAAAATTCATTATTAAATTGACTAATACTGAAAAATTGCCTTCAGGGTAGAAAACAAGACACGTGTATTTCTAATACACACTAGTTAAAGCATGTGATCTGATAGGGCATTTACAAACCTTAATAGGCTAGAAATAGTTATTGCTGTTGAGACCATATCAAACATTGTCATATAAATAAGCTAAGTGTAAGAAAAGTCTCAAAAGTCACCTATTACGGTGCCTGTTCACGAATCATACTGCTAAAGATTTTTGTACGGATTGTGACAGGCATCTTATTTCGCTGATATAAATCAGAGAACATAGTGGTGTTAGTAATCGTAACTTAATGATAACCAGGGACAATTGCTTCTTTTCCATTTTCCAATGCAGACAATAAATGGGTCCATTGCCAGACACCTTATGTATTAGAAGTTTAGCTATCATGAGTTTCAAGGTGAACTCCAAGACGGATCCAGCAATGATCTAATCTTAATAACTAAGCAAAGTGTATAAATTTCGAATGTTTTTCATATAGACTAGAGAAAAATAACTTTGTTAGGCTCACATTGACCTAACACTGGTAGCTGTCTGGAAAAAAAGACTGTTTTTCAAGTTTTTCATGGTGTAATTGTGTAGACTATGCACCATATTATTTACAAATATATCTCTTAACCAACTCAATGAAATTTTATACTACAGTATACCGAAAAGCTGATAATTCTGTTTAGGTTTAGGCCAGTAATCACGTGTATACAAATATCTCAAGAAACATGAGATCTGAAACACTAAGAGATTGAATAGAGAAGGCTTTTGTTCTGTAGCAAATATGCCTACTTAAATTGAAAACCTTTCACACTTGTTGGCAAGAATATAGTACATAAACAGGATAACTAACAAGCTGTTACATATTCTTTTATCTCTTAATTGAATGGTTTCAGATTATTCAAGTGTCGCTTGTGTTATGTGAGGAACGCAGTCATTGTTCCTGCTAGCAAGTAAATAATAATATCAGTCAATCAGGAAAAATCGATAAGAGACGCTGTCTGTTGTGAGTTCTGCGCTTGTTAATCATGGTGGATAAAGGAACTTGATTGATTTGGAGATAATAGTCACCGATCTCAATATCGAAATCACTTAAAAATGATGAACACTAAAGAAGTTACTCGCCTGAATTGAAGGCCTTTATCTAAACTAATGCTCAGGTTCAAAATTCATGAATTATCAAAATGTTGGCTATTAGTTCCAGTCATGCAAAAACCATATTGCTAGTTAATAGCGAACAATAGTTTACTAAGTACTCAAATATCTTAAATTTGAACCACGATAACTAAACAGGTTATGGCCATTGATCAAACAAAGATTATTGCAATTTATCCTAAAAGATGAAAATGAAAAACTAATCTATTATTTTCAAAAATATGATGAGTATAAAACTTTTCTTAATTTTAGGCAAACTACAAAAAATTGTACCCGTACAGCTTGTTAGTTATTTGAAGTAAAATAAGTTGCAATCACAAAAACGACCAGTCAGAGAAGGTTGTATGAAAATAGTTGAAAAATACTTTCTTGTTTATCCAAAGTAGGTAAAAGTATAAGAAAAAAGAATATTGTGAAGTATTGGTGAATTTCATAAAGTCCAATGTTTAATGTATTCTTGAGAAATATCATTAAAACACAATATTGTTTAAAAGAATTAAATCATTACTGTGAAGGCTAGGGAAGATACTATATATATATATATATATATTAAACATTTGCTCGAATTTTGTATCAAAAATTTTAGCACTTTTAAGTGGGTGAATGTATATAAGCATGTGAGACTTATGAATACTAAATCAATAAGTTAATGAATAAAAATTGTACTATGACCGCCAAATTATAAAAGTACATAATAACAAATATTTTGATTCATCATTTACTCATTAGATTACGTATACTTGTACAATTGCTCACTGACAGATATACACGTATTTGTATAATAATTATGTAAAAATATATTTTATTGTTTCGAGAACAGTGAAGTTAAAAATTATTCATCAATAATTGAAAAAGGCAAGTAATTCATCAACTAAACTTGTATAGTTGTCAAATTCCTTTTGCTTTTTTACAGTTAGAAAATCATCCATTATATAGAAATTGTACATCTCATCTAACCAGTCTCATAAATGTTTTCTAATTCAATACGAATCTGAGACAGGCAATAAGTCCAAAGTCAATCATTAAAACGATGAGTAAAGCGTTTTGCAGCTTTGAGGAACTTTATCCAGATAAACGCAAAACTCTTGTAAGCTTACTCGTAAGCTGGGTGGATATTTCTACAAGATCGTAAGAATAATAGACCTAGAAAGTCTTATATGCGTAAGGAAATTAAATCTCGGCGGTTCTAAAGTAGTATCTTAATAGACATAACGGCCAAAATTGATTATTCCTTACAACCTTAATCAAATGATCTAGACTGGAACACTTCAAAAAGTACTGCATTTGTCACAACGCTCGAGCACATTAGACTGTATTTCTGAGTTACATTGGGAGCAAAGCTGTAAGGGAAAACAAGGGATTATTAAGCCACTACAGCCTCTTGTCTTGGGATTTTTAAGGAGTGTTCGTCTTCTTCGGTAGATAAGTCTCAAACTACGACATTCTGGTCCTACGACGATTATCTTGTAACCAAATAACTGTAACAGAATCTGAAGATCGAAATATTTCACTCCACCAATAAGCTTGGTGACATGGCTCGTACCCACTGTTATCAATAGACCTCTATCTTCACTTTATTCTCCCCTCCGAAAATACCATGAACTCCATTGTTGAACAACTTGCAGACCCTGTTGCGAACCTACGTTTCGTTCCAATCGAAACTAGTACATTCTCCACAAAATCCGTACCATTAGATACATGAACAATGTGATAAAAAGTGTCATTGCGAAGCATATTAGATGTGAGTGAGCTTTTACGAGAACTAAGATCTCATCGTTTGCGTAAGATACTCTGATCTATCAATTAGCAACTCAAATTATCAATATCTACCTCTAAGTACAAATAAACTAATGAAACCCCAGAAGACTTGATGAAATATTCACCAGCATTAGATACTGTTACGATATATCATGTATTCACAATCTATACACATATCTATTTCTGTGAATAAGTTTCGATTGACCTGGTTGCTGAGTAATCGTGGATTGATCGCAGATGTTAAGTGATGACCTTGGATGATAATCACACCATATTGTGAACTGACAAAAGTAGAAAACTGTCGGCCACTGAACTCTAAACCAGAGGTTGAATGGTTGACATCCTAGCCACGAAACCTGAAGGTCCTGAGTTCGATCCTTGACGAAATCGTGGATGAGTAATCTAGATGAGTCCCAAGCAAGGACAAAAAAGCTGTCCAGTGTTCCTAGGAATCCAATGGTTCTCCAACTTACGTCAATGTGTGAAAAGCTACAATCCTTAAGATAGATTTAGTGGGGTGGGCAAAAGAGTGATAGTCAAATGTTTGTTTATAGAATTGACACTAAATATATGCAGCAGGGATAACTCAGCACCTGTTTCTGCTATGTGAGAAATCCTACCACCAGTATCAAAAAGGAAGCGAGAAAGATAAGAATTATACAAACCACGTCCTAGAATTGATATGACTATGGCCAGTAAATCGTATCCTAAACATAAACCAGCAAACAATACTGTTTCCCTGCATAATCCATCTAGTGGATCGACTACAATTGAATTACATTCTATCACAGTTCTTAATTGTCACTCTTAAACTAGAAGTTTTATTGAGAAATTATTCGTGGGAATAAAAATGTACCATATATTATGTACCTAAAAGTATTTTTATCAAATATGAAAAATAGTATTGAATGATTGTTATATTCAAATTCTGCATTGTTAATTAGTCCTACTCAATATGAATTTTTAATACATGTAATCCCATTATTTCTGATTAAGAAGCGATAATTACTTAATTTGAAGATAATCAACGTATCAGTTTGAATGGTACAACATATCTATCGCTTTTCTGATTCGATACTCTCAATTTTCCCTTATTCTTCAGTGAGAATATGCTGTGCTTGGATAACGCATAATTGAGATTTGTTCACTTCATTACATTAGCTATCGACTTGAGAAATCTAGTTTCAGTAGCGAATCGATCAGAAATGAATCAAATTAGCAGTAAACTTGGTTACAATTCTGATAAATTATTACACTAAGACAAATAAATGACAGACACCATCATTAGGTAAATGTTGAGTAGACTCACTTGGACCTGGAAAGGTTCCATGCCATAGGTTTCAATATTTGAGGCATTTTCAATAAATTTCTCCAGTGCTTCAATTTTGGACATAACACTTTTAAATGCATGAAAACAAATTACTTTTAATACTCAAAATGTTTAACAAAATAAGTTTTCATTACTATTATCATTCAGAATATAAACATATCACGTTTTAAGAAAAAAATATGCAAAACACTACAAAGATGTACGGAAAAGATTTTGGTGATAATCCAAACAGGAAAGCGATCGCATTCTCAAATAGTTTTCCACTCCCTTTGTAGCAATGCTGGCTATGTAAAGTAGAGGGATTATAAAGCGAGGTAACACCGGTTTGTTTTCTGAGTAATCTCTTACAGCAATGTAAGAGAAGGACAAGGAATATCTGACAATACCTATGACGAAAAATTCACGTCGTCTATTAAGTTATATTCTGGAAGTAGTAATGACATAGAAGAGGCTACACCAGCATGACTAGCTTTACTAACGAAATGAAATGTCGCTGAGTAAATCTACTTGTTAAGGCGACGTGATTTCTAGTAATCAGTCAAAGACTTCTCTTCAGTAACTTTTCATTTTCAGAGCAAACACCATGAAGATCTTTAAACTGTCTATCATTTTACCAAATGTAGTTCTGTACAAGTCTAGTTTAACCCGAAACGTTCAGCAATACCATTTAATTCCATCAGTGGATGGAGTCAGTTCGGATTCTTCAGGAAGTATGAGATGCCTAATGATAACCTTCAACTACTTTTATCATCAGAAGTAGACCATATTTTATTCATTACGTGGTTTTGTAAAAACTTAAGAAGACTGGATCGTATGAACTTTTATTCAGTTGGAAGATAAAAAGAACAAGATGTTAATCAATACCAAAATTATTTACTAATGTCTTATTTATAAAGCGTACTCATCAGTTTCTTTATCTTAAGCTAATTTGATTGGAACACCAGGTTGAATTTTACGTAAACACAAATTCTGAACTGAATTAACAGATAAACAGAAAAAGAATTAACTAACAATGACTGAGTAGACTGAATTGCATGTTGATGACATTTGGTCACTGCACACTATTAACTAGGATAATTATTATCTAGAAGAGTTTAGTGGACAGAAAAACTTCTGAGCATCAAATCAAGATAGCAGATATCAATTGCGCAATCTGAATATCAATCACAGCTAGCTGGGCAGTAGGATCTTAAACATGCATCATTGAAAATTTGAGGTGATAACATCAAAACTCTTTTCTAATAATTCAGATATGCTGAACAGTTGCCTTACCCTAGGTAAAGAACATTCTTTATTGACTTACTTTCTCTATCAAAACATATGCTTTTTTTATTGTCACTACTCTTTTCAATGATATAATCTGGCATTCATGATAAGAATAATGGTAACCTCTAGATAAGAATTGAACTTAAGGGCTGTTATAGTTTATCATCTGGTGATTAATCACCAAACATTGATAACTTTAATTAATACAATAGTGAGTTAACTCTCAATTTTTCTCACATTCAAATGTACATTGTATCTCAGATATTCAAAAGTAATTATGTTAAATTAGAACACCAAATGGATACTTTGAAAATTTCAGTAGTATGTCCAAAAATAGTAACTACTGAAATTTTTGTTATTATCTGTTTTTAAGGTAGTTGAAAATGTAAAGAACAACAAAGAAATAAAGTAGTTTTTTAACAAGAATCTATGTGTTTTCTTAAAATTTTGGTTGTAAAAGGTTTTCAAGTTTATATAGAAAAATCATTTGCTAATTTACAATTTGTTTCAGTTGGGAACGACAAATACATTGATCTACTGGAATATTGTTAAAACAGATGTTAAATTATGCGTGGAATGTGAAATTTTTGGCCTACTTCTGTTCATTATAAATATATATATATATATATATATATATATATATATATATATATATATATAAAGAATACAGATATTGTGTACTTCTCAATTGGCAACACATTGTTCAATACATGTACGAATATATAATAATGATAATTGAAGATGAAGATAACTCAGTCGATTTGGTATAGTATACCTCAATAATTGAATGTACACATTTCAAAACAGTAGTTTCCAGTCATTTAAGGAAAAAAGGCTACTCCGTGTCCTAATTTAATCACGGACAATGTTTCATGACATAATATAATCATGATTACTTTTAAGATGAATGATTATAAAACTGATCAATTAAATATTATTTGAAGGTTAACAAATATTTGATTACAATTGTTTGATTAATCTAACCAGGTTAGCAAGAAAAAATGTTGCGTAAAGCAGTTCATTGTTCCAGGGTAAGAATAAAGTAGAAAAAGACAAATCAAACTAGCAATTTTTAAGAATTTAGTCATAGGTTATAATTTCCTTTGTGCTGACTAGCAAGAGTATCCAGAAAGCACATTTCATTCCATTTATGACATGTCAAATAGATATGCCTGTATCTCAGTGTTGGCATAACGGGAAACTGAAATATATTAGTAAGCTCAGTCATTCACTGAAAAAGTCGTATTAGTATCAAATGGCTCCGTAGAACATAGCTTTATTGTGATTATTGTAAGCTGCTTTTTATTCCTAGCCTTAAAAAAAGAACTTCTAGAGATGAACATATGTGATACGTCTTGTATCGATTACTCTTGATTCAGTGTCATAACCCTAAGTATTTAAAGTATGAAAAACTAAAGTGCGACTGGCATTATTTGTTTATTTAATCAGAGAAAATATTGTGTCCTTTGGTTTCACATTTATGTTATGTGCTGTGCAAAAATTTCAAAACAAGCTTTATTCTACTGATGACGAGTTATAGTCCCCTGGATTCTAAGTGGTTTTTAAAGTTTTTTAATAGATACCATTGAATACAAACGTTTACGTCAATGTTACATACACACACGTTAGGCGAAGAAATACTTGGCGTTCTTGTACCCAGAAATCATATTGTATTCTTGGTGATGTATGGCAACCAAGTATCACACAAATCTCTTTCTATCTAGAAGACTTCATATCATCTTTCCTGTGCATAGCTACTTGACTTTACACTGAGACATCACACTGGCACTGATCAGGTGTTGAACCAAGTTACCTCAAAATAAAAACTCCTGTCAATCATGCAGTATGCCCATTTGTGTAGGTGAACGACTGCGAAAATCCTTTGTGAATTTGAAAACAAATTTATTCAACAGGTGCAAGACTTACATAATTTTTTTCAGCTGTGTTTTGATTCCTCTTACAATGGCTGTTGTTAAATTCGGAAGGACACGCATACCACCGGGAATAGTATCCACATCGAATCCTTGAGGTACTTCGTGAAGACCATGTTCAGCTTTTTAAAACAAATAGTGTTTTAAAAACCAGTAAGACGGTTAGTTGGATGAATCAGTATAAAAAACAACTTCAACATCAGCCTAATAAAATAATTTTGTTTCACCATGAGGTTTTCACCAATACATTCGACAAGGGATAAACGTGTTGTAATAGATAGGGGTGATTAAGCAATAGAGTGAAGCGTGTTATACAGCCCTAATATGAGTTGGATGGAGACAATTAGCAAGAAGTCCTTAACAAAGGTTCCGTGCTTTTTAACACTCGTCAGCAAGGCTTATCTGCGACCTCAACGGAACTGATGTCCCGCTCGGGATTCAAGAACGTGTAACCCAGTATTGCAGTCAGAGACATCACCACCGATCTACTAGCCCGAGTAGCAGGTTTGAATCCCAGGCTGGACATCAGTTTCGTCTACGACTTGCTGAAGAGTGCAAAAAACACAAACCTTAGGTGCATCGCGATGCTGCATCACCTAGCTTCATGGGCACCTGCAAAATTTCTTCTTAATATTTTATATACACATAGTACTTGCACAGTATTTTGTGCCCTTAATATCAAAACAATCTTACAAATGTCATAAGTTGGTGCAAATCAAAACAAATTTTCGTATTCACTCCGAGACTTTTCTAGACATCAACTTAACTAATTGCAATTTTGTCGATTTCAATTTTTCCCTGCCTCTCTACAACTCGTCTTTCATACTGCCTTGAAGTGCGGCAACCTGGAGTAATGCTTCCATGTGCTAGGTTATATTTTGATGTATCTGTCTTCTAAAAACCCTTCTGGGTATCTAGTTGATAAACACAATCCCATAAAACATATATATAAGCCAAAGTACAATTATCTTACCTTGTATAGCATACGCTGCCAATTCGTAGGTTTTCAGTGGTTGAGCTCTTAAACGGCCAACATAGAAATCGCGTCTCAGTTGGAGGAAAAATAAATGACTGAAAATGTCAAACAATAATACATGTAGAAAATAGCAAATTTCGTCTTAAAAGAACAATTCAGTCAACGTAAATAATACAACTTAATATTCTTTACTTAAGAAACTTTCTACTCAACCTTATTGCAAATTTACTCAGTAATATTCAACACATTAAAATATTCTAATACCATTTTCAGATATGAATTTAATAAAACTTATTATATTTTGGGTAGTGCTGACATAAAAATGTCAATTACTTGACCTTGAATAATTGTTTTATTAGCAGGTAAATTCACTTTTCCTAAAAACTGTTGTCATTAAAAGGCATTAGAAACTGCACAACTTTTTCCCATCAAATCAATACTCTTCAGCAATACACTTGTTCAAAAAGGATAGTAGAATTAAAAAATATTGGTGAACGAAATGAAAGTACAAAGCGTAGGTTACTAGTTATAATGAAGATTACTACAGAGAATAGTAAAGAAGATTCACAAAGTGAATGGTGAGTATATCTTGTCAACTGAAACTCATACATATCTGGAACATGGTTTAATGTTATGACACTTTTGTTTCATTAAGCTTCGATAAGAACTTATTCAGCATCATCACCCTACATTTATATTTTAGGAGTCTAACTTAAGTCAGTGTAAGTCTTATATGTTGACAGTATTTGAACCAACGGTATAAAGTTGAGTAACTCTGTTGAATATGATTACTTCATTGAACATATTTGATTGTTTCTGATTAGCAACTGTATTCTAATATGGTGTATTTCACGTTGCTTTTGTGCAGCACCTTGACTTGAATTGAGCAAGTAGAATAGCTGGTTCATTTCACCTTTTAAAAATTTTAGACACTGAAGTAACTCAATTTTAGTTCAATTATTTTTTTTCGATAAAAGTTATCGCAGTAATATAGTTGTATCAATGTGAGCAATAAATAACACCTATCCACTATATGACATAATAAACCAAGTGAAAGGGGATTCATTTCACTCACTTATATTTCAGCTCAGGTTTAGTGAAATACGATTAACTCCCTTCATGAATGTATGAACCTTGAAACAGCTTTTTCAAGTAGTTGACTACTGTCAATAAACACCTCAAATTTGCTTAGTGGCTTCTGATACACCAAGTTTTTAGTGCAAATGAATGTCTAGTAATAATAGTCAGCCTTGGTAGTGATTCGGTCATGATAAGCTTTTGTAGATACCTTGTTTGGCAGTATGATTTCTTAAAGTTTAGTAACATTTGTTCCGTTCTCTTGAACGCACTTGACATCCTCATTGAAATGGTTAATAAGATTTATAAATGTTTCCTTATCTAGCCCATATTCTATTCTAATGTCTTCGTGATTACAGTTTATTATTCTCTTTGATCATCGTATCTTTTATAAACTACCTATTTACTTTGTTTCTGGCTTAAGATTACAAGAGTTTATCCATCCCTGTGATTATAACCATCTACAAACAACACAACTAAAGGATTGTACAGTTTTATGTAGTGACTTTATCAATTTAAAAGTGATCTTAGTAGCTAACATATCTATGTACTTAGTGATGTTTTGATGCTTATTACTGACTTAGGACTTGAATAACACTAGTGACGAGTAAATCTATGACGAATAGATGCCAATACAGAAACCTATTATGAATAATCTTGAGGAGCACTGCTATTTTTGATGTATCTCTTAAGTGTCACCTTCAAGTTAAACATACGACTACTCTTCAGATATTCATAAAAATTCTTCTCATTCTCTGATATCTGGCATCTTATATTTTACTCAATAAACATCAGAAAAATAGAATATATTGTAGCTGAAGACACTTTAATAGTATATAGAGATGTTTTAGTTTGGAAGTTAGTTTTTTCCCAAAAGCATTTTGATTGTCATTCAAGTTGGTGTTTGTGCTTGTAACAGTTTATCAGGACAGCTTATGATACAGTTCAAACAAATTAATATTCACTCCCGAATATCTTTATGCTTAGGTTTGTGAATAGAGCACTGAAGATCAACGAAGGCAATAATTTCCTTGAAATCATATATGCTTCGCACATATAGGATCTAGTAGGTATGAAATCCACATGTGATTCAGCCTCAATACCAATTGAAAGCATATAACAACAAATATGCAAAGGGCTAATGTTTCATCACCTGAAGTAAACGGAGTCAGCTAGTACTCAGGATTATAGCACCACTGTGACTATATTAAGACAAATAATGAGTTGTTTGAAATGCTTGATCATATCTCTTTGGATAGGTATGTAATCGAAAACGAATGAACGTCAATTGGTAGACACAAAATACTTTTAAATTGCATAGATCAAGAATCTAATCCAACTTGATTAAAAATATACTAAAAAAACATTTTCCTAGGTCCTTCGCAAATGTCTACTTCATTGATGATACCTGTAATAATGCCTATCTTAATAAGAGTTCCATTTAGGTAGCTTTCACAAAGTTACATATGGTAAGCACGTAAGAAACTCCTTATCTTTAATTACCCTCTGGTATAATTAGCATGCAAACACATAAAAATCTTCGCTTATCTCATTACACAAGTAACAAATGTTACAATAGAAGGGTACAATATTTTAAATAAATTCTAGCACTATTCTGTCACAGTTATCAAATTGACCTTAAAAAGAATAACGTTAAATAAATGGCTACCTAAAAGGACTGATTATTATAAAGAACTGGTGTATATCTTCATGAAAGTTTGTCATAAATGACGTATATAATAACTGGACATATAAGTATGGCCCAAACTAATGCACCACTACTTATTAGCACAGTACAGTTTTCCGTGGTCAATTATTGAAGGGTCATTCAGTGTTTTGACCTGGAATGTAAAGCTGCAACTTGCTGAATTAACGAACACATAAATACAGAAACTCAAATAAAAGTTCAGGCGTTCAGGTTGCTAATCGTTGTAATTGCATAGAAAGAGGAAATGAAAAAGTAAAGACAATATATAATCTAAGACAGTTACTTTCATTTGAATTTTTCCACATTTTCATTTAGTGTAGCGGTTGACTTATCAGAATAATGAGAATGAAACACCTGATGCAAAGCACTACATAAAGTCAGAATGACGTGATTTTCAATCACAAGAACGCGATAAACACTGAAAGAGTTTTTGACGCGTGTATCGACATTCAAAATTCCACTTAAGGAATTTCAGTTATAAGAGTCAGTAACTTTGTAGATTTATATCACAATTAAGTTAAATTTCAATGAAGTTGACACTGACTGGCCACTGAAGAGTAGCTAATTCCATATTTTTCAGTCCTAAATGCAAACCGAGTTCTGTCGATTATTTCGTAATGTGCTAAACAAGCTAAAGGACTAATTATCATGTTACACTTTCTTTGACGTTAGATCGGTAAAGGAAATCAACAAGAAGTCTTAAATCGAGATTCCAAGCTACGCAGGTCTGAATGGCTTAGTATTAACATCTATGGGACGGGCATTATCTTCATTGAGGCACCAGTTCCCTCAAAGTCTACGACTTTGCCTCCCTAACGACAGCCAAGAAACACGAAGCCTAGGTAAGAAGCCCCCAGTTGATTGTTTCAAACCTTTTAACGCCAGTGGAGTTTATTTTACTTAACTTCGGATAATTTCCTACTGTTATGATAGGATAGTTTGTAATTAGAACTCTGAAAGAACACTGTCTACCAAAGTCAGCTCATAAAGTATTACAACCACTCTGAATTTCGCGCTCTGAAGGATTAAAATACAGAACCTAACAAGAAACGTGTTAGGTTGGCATTCGCAATATACAGCACTGATATTGTGACATCACTAGTGGCTATATGGCTTGCAAGTTGTTTGAATCTCTGCACAATTTAATTTCCAGCTTTTCATCTTCATTATGCGACTGACTATTCATTCTTTCCACCATAGTAATTGAATAACTTGAATAAATTTGTAGCTTATTGCACGTGAAAATATACTTATTGAAACATTTTTCAAGTAGACTTTTACGAAAGCATTCACATTTTTATACATCTGGTAAAAAACCGAAATTATGACGATGCAAAACAACTGAATTTCAGTACCTTGAGTGAAAAAAATCCATGCTTTGTCGGCAGAGAAATAAATTATTACAAAATGTAAGTGTTTACTTGCGAAGTATTCCGATCTCATGAAGGTATTATATCTTGAAAAGCATAACATATACTGCAAAATTGAATTCGAACCAGCTACCTTCGGGCTATCATAATGAATATGAAACCCATGACCATGACCAATAATTTGCTGCCATTCCAAGTTCAACCAGTGAGATACATTACTTACCACTGACTAGGCTTAACCACAGGGATGTCACATAGTAAAATTCAGGCAATCATGCAAGGATCCTGGAGAACAGAATAAGGTATCTAACAGTCAGGTTAGGTATAATAGACAAAAGGAACAATTCCGTGATGACATGTCGCCTCGGACTGAATTTAAGATATAACCAATCACAAAGATCATTTGTTAGGCGATCGGTAATGATGGGTTTCACAAAATTATTTAGGGAAAAAGTTTGAACAAGCTGAAAAATAAACTTTACGGCTATGAAACGTTTCTTTGGGTAACAGCAAAACTGAAAGCTAAGGAACATGTGAAAAAGTTAGGGTATTTAGCAGACTTGAATACTTTTATCTAAGACTTGAAAATGCTTCTTTCCGGATTCCAAAGATTTGGTAGCAAAAAGCATCTGTAGATATAATTATTTCAACAATTGTGCATTTCCAGGTGTTTGTATATGTGCAGTTTCACAACGACAGATTTAGTTATCATAAATACAATAAAACATTTTAGGCATCATTCATAATCATCTTGCCATATTATTCAGTAGGAATAATAATCGCTTTGTTCAGCTCAACAAGTTTTGATGAGGTACATAATTCCTAGCAGAAGATGTTTCAACAGCTATTCTATGCACAACAAACAGGAAAATGTGATACACAAAGGACAGGAATCGACAAGAGAGGAGGGGAAGGAACATGAAAAGGTTGGTTATTAAATACTTAGTATAAGTTAGTCCCATTTTAAAAATATGCGCGACATCTGCTAAATGCGGCAAGTAAAGTCTTCCTGAATTTCGTAATCAACCGACTTATGGGCTTGCATCTTAAAATCCTAAAGATAAACAAAAAGATTTTAATAGGTACCCAGAATTTAACGGAGTACCAACAATCAGTTGGTGGTATTAATTTGGATGTCTTCTAACAACCGTATCCACTAGCAGCATTCCAAGTTAGTAGCGAGCCCATTCAAACCTTTCATTTCTGTGTCACACATCATAGACTTTCCTCTGGAGTTGAAGAAAGAATAAGGAGACAAAGTAAATGAGAACAAATCCAGTAAGGTACAAAATTAAAGTGTAAGATAGATGGCCTGTTGTTCTTAAAACAAGTAGTCATTTTACGTCTATTAAACCAAAGAAATGATGCCGATATCAATTGTTAATAGAAAGATCATCCATAAAAGCCTGAATCAAGATACGCGATAAAAGTAGGCAGAAAAATATTCCTGAGATTGAATCAATTCGTACAGATCCGTTTCTCGTTTGAGGATAATACTGTAAGTTTGAGATTTATAACGATGAAGCCAAACTAACTGACTCAAAATATTGCATAAAAATTCAGCGACTCATGACATCCCTGAGACAGAACATCTGTCATTATGAATGTTTTCACTAAGATAAGACGTAGTCGGTAAAGAATAAATACAATCCATGAATGGATTCAGTTCCCTTTGTAGAATGTATATTGACAGAAAGAATATAACACTGGTCTCAATAAGCAAATAGACTGTATTAGCCACATATTATTTTTACAATGAAATATTCCATTTTAGAATTATTCCATGAGAGCAGAAGTCATACAATAAATGTGAATGACTTACCGGATTGTTTGATTAGGGAAGCATTTCAAAGGATTATTCGGATAGTAAACGAATCGAAAGCCCAATGTAGAATTTTTCGCATCTATAAATATACAGAATGCATAAAATGACTTCAATATTACACGTAAAAGTTAGCATAGGAACAGAGTTAGGAATACCATAGGAGACAATTAGGTTCAACACAAGTATTCACTTAGGAAACAGTCTTTTTTAGCACTCTTTAAGATCGAATATTCAACTTTCTGGCTACATACCATACACACCAACGTACCCTTGAAGTGATAGATGATATTTTATAAATCGACAACTTATGTTCTGACCAAACGGTAATGAAACGCAAGTAATTTTCCAATGTCAAAAATATGACTAACATAGTGGACCATTTAGTTGGTTTCAAAAGTCGAAATTCCCCAACAGAACTTAAGACGACCATTATTAGAAACTTCAGGAATTAGTTTTTAGTTTTAGCGTTTGAAAGTGATCAGAATACAATTCAGAGGACATTCTACTGCCGGTTTTGATAGTATGAAAAGTCATTAAAACGTACTACTGAAAAGTTTCGCACTGTGAATAAATATCTTTGTGATTTTCAATAACGATTCGACTGTTATTGGCTTAACGATAAAAATTAATCTTGAAATATTCAATTGACCTCTGATTTCAAAGCATAAAAGACAGAGATTTTGGACTCCTTGATTCCTTATGTCTCCCTTCAACTTCATTTTTGTAGAGAAGATACTGTTTGAGATCCGGGATTTTAGATGAATAACAATATGTAACTTTATACATTGTCGATGTTTCCTCCAATTGTACATCCTAATAAATCCTTGTTAAGTCCTTAAGTAAATGATATACATGCTCAATTATAAACCAAAATGGGATTTATCCATGATCATTATGGTTGAAACTTTGACTGAAACACAATTATTTACGTCCAGTTGATTTCGCTGAATAAGATCAGCATTTACAAATGACAGTTCGTGCATGAAGAATTTTTCTTCAAGCATGAAAATGAAGAGTAGGTATTGTTTGAAGAGTCTGAAATCAAAAGGTTTAAACGCGTACTGTTCGTTATTTAAAGTCAACTAAATCATTACATCATTTCATCCAGCTATAAACACAGATATGGTAGTGATATTAATGATCAAACCCACTAACACATTACCTACCATGCCAATCCAAACACTCTCTATTAGCTGGCATAAGTTTATGCTCAAAATTTATTAATTTTCACTATTGAGAAAGCTGTAGGGCGGATTAAAATGAGTTTAGACAGCAGCTATTCCTAAACGGAAACAAGGTATTCGCAAGTGCAGTGAAAAGACAACCATTAGATTTAAGGCATAGAGTCACTGTCAAAAAAAGCCTTCATAATCCAATCCATTTTGCGCTGCAAAGGCCATCACTTTCAAACGCTCTTGGTCTGACTATTTTATAGCCAAGAAGAGCTTGGTCAACCTTCCAGTGCCTGATAATGGAAATTGTATTCTGAATACCTTTTTCTCTACGTAATCTCAGTTTTTAACGGCCTACCGAATTAAATCTATCGTGTAAACGTTATTTAGAACAAGGCATGAATCAGCGAAGAAATATTCCTCTTCAGCGACTTCATTATCAAGCTGTACAGTCGTATTTATACCCGGTAAAGTGACAGATAATTGAATAAACGAATCACTCCCCATCGCATTACAGTCCCTAAGAAAATTTTAACCACGAATCTAGAATTCAAAAAAGACACCACAGCTGAAGTGCTGAAAAATCGTCTGTCAAGATGTATCAATAGTATCAATGCTGCTAGACTGAGATTGATATTCTCCAGCTGCCGTCTGATTCGTCAATGCGTGAAGGATAGGCTTCCACTTATGTCCACATCCATATGTATCTACAAGTTCATATGCTCCTGTGGAGCTGACTACATTGGACGTTGTAAGCGGGCCCTCCGAAAACGTGTTGCTGAACACTACCCGGTTTGGCTTACCAGAAGCAAGCAAAGGAAGACGACTTCATTCATATGTGAACACCTTGTTGAATTAGGTCACTCAGCACCTAGAGATTCATCCTTTAAAATAACTTACCAAGTTAAATTGAACTACTCTGAAGGCATACCTTTCCACCACTTATGCATAGATGAAGCATTAGCTATACATGAACAAAAACCGAAACTTTGCATTCAAAAACGTTTGGTGAAACCACTTTCTCTACCTTGGCCTTAACAATTCATTTTGTTGATTTCGTCAATTTCATTTCACTTTGGTATACTTCCTTATTATTTTCATCATCACCAATTTTCAATTCATTGACAATATTTGACCCATATTTCACTTTTCAGTATCAATTCATTCCTTATTCACTGACCTATTTAGCATGTTTCAGCTTAGTTATCATCGTTTTAAAATTCTTTGACAACACTTATCTCTTATCTCACCACTTGTTATCAATTCGTTCCTTATTCAGTGACCCATTTTCTATCTCTTCTACTACAACAAATCCCACCACCAACACCAATTGTATATTTTGTATATTGACTGAGCAACGTTTTAGTGCAATTACCTGTCACTTTACCGAGTATAAATGCTACTGTACAGCTTGATAATGAAGTCATTGAGAAGAAATATTTCTTCGCTGATACATGCCTTGTTCTTATTCGTGAATAAATGGGTATGTTTCGTCAGTTAAACGTTATTAATTTTCTTTCGTTTGCTTACATAAGAACCGATTTATGTTCAGTAAGCCAAATCACTTCTTATTCTCATTTTTAGGAATCCCTGAGCCTCATGACACATGATTAGTCGCCCTGCATTTCGAATTGAAAAAAGTAGGAAAATGTGAGCTACTGAATTCTGACTAAATGCCTGGATGGATAGTACTTTCATCCGAGACGTGAAGGTCCTTGGTTCGACCCACTAGTGATCATCGGTGCATACTGCTTTTTGTACTCTACTTATACACTTGATTCCTTTGATACATGAAGTTTGCTATCAACTTTGAAATTTAAAGTATGTGCTTATTAGGTCTAACATTTTTGCAACGTTATAATATTTGGCACTTAAAAAGAATTCATCATATCCCCGATGACAGACGGATCACTATTCTTGTACTCACGTTTCAAGTACAACATTCATCCTTAAATGGTAACAAAAACATTTTTATGTTCATCGAACACGGTTCATTTCAATGAATGTAAAATAAACAGAGGTTACAGAAACAAGTTCACACAGAAAGCCAACACTTGTTGAAATATTCTACCAAACCTGAGATCAATTTCACTTATCTAACTATTCTATGAGGTTTGCTTAAGTTTAAGGTAGTACGGTTGAAGATAATGTTTAAATTACCGTGAACAACGTAATTTAGATAATCTATACCCTTAAGATAGCCTTGTAAGTTAGTTACCTCAATTTATATTTCTTCGCGTAACCAATCAACTGTGTGACTCATCGACTAATACCACGAATACAGTATTGAAGTTAATCAACCCTTCCTCATAAAAACGTGTATTTCACTGGATGTAAATGTCTTCGCTGCAATAGAAACTTTCTTGTCAGTGATAAATACAAACTTTTTACGCTATAAAACCATCTTCAAGCAAGTGTATGTAGCAAGACTTCTTCTTAGTTATAAAATATTCTGAGTACCATATTTATAAAATGTTAAAACAGTGTAAGCGCAACGATTTAGTCAGTGTTTTATGAAATTATCCTTAAGATGGTAGATACAAAAATAAATAACAAAATTCACAATCAGGAAGAAGAAAACACTTTGATTTCGATCAGTAGATTCGTCAATCACTTACCTTTCAGTTGTTTGCTGATTTTGTCATTCAAATTGATCCATTGCTAACCAGAATACAGAAATAAAAAGTAATTAACCATTTGTAGACAATGAATACAAGTAGACATGTTTTTTAATCGACAGCCTACACAAATATACTGTGAAATTATAATCTAAAATCTTAGTATGAAAAGTATTAAAAACATTCATCAGAAAATTTGATTAGTCACACGACATACGAAAAGCATTGAACGACATGATTAATGTAACGCAGAAAAGAAAAGATGTTTTACGACTACCAAGCTACATAAAGTTATGATTGGTGACTGTCAGAAAGAAAATGTAAGTCATAAATTGAGAAAATGGATTTATAGTGTTTAGCATGGTATACAACGAGGTTATTTCCAGGGTGGGAAGGCTGAAAATTTGACTGTGAAGGATCGCAGGAGATTGATATCAAAGTGGATACTATTAGCTAGACCATTATACATAATAGTATACTTTCCAGAGTCACTACAAAAACACTATACTAACCCGACTGTTTTAGCTGCTTCCCTTAAATCAGTTAATTAGACTAGGTTCTTTTTCCTATGAATTACAATAAATCCTGAAAAATGCTAAATTTGAAGAATAATGTAGACTTCGCAAATCTATAGATGCAATAAATAGATTGGATAAGGATGTTAACAGTTAACTTACATTCATTCCGCTATTGTCACAATAACGCAGTCCAAAGTAGGAAATATGAGATAAGACACCAAGTCGTTCGCATACAACTTCAAGAATGGATCGACCAAACGCTTTATTCTAAAATCAGATTTTAAAAAAGACAAACTTATTAGATCTATTCGTTATGTGATAATAAAAAACATCTTCGAGAATGCTGGATGTAAGCATACTCCACTCTACGCTGATATTAGTGGAAGAATCATTAAAGGCTAACAACCAGTAGGCAGCTATTTTTCTCCTTTCTTTATACTTGTTGCCATCATACACTTAACACTTCATAGATTTGTTTTAAATTATCACACTACAAATTACTTTACAAGCTTCACGTTGCTCAGCTGGACAATGTAATTTTTACTCGCTTTTAAAATCATTCTGAGTGAAATTAGGTCTTGTATCTTAGATTACTCGAATAATTTTATCACAAAGACAGTTACCTCATGTTGTAGCAATGTATCAGAATCATAAACAACGTAGATAATGACACCAGAGTGCATGACAACAAGCTGATATTTTTCCCAATAGTATAGAAATAAAAATTTAATAAAAGACAAAAGACTATAATGTGAAAAATAGAAAAAGCCCTAGTAGACAGTCAACATACGGATGTACTACTAAAATGAGATACCTGATGTCGTTTCAATGATGTCACTGTTTTTGATTTATATAATCTAAAATCTCAGATGAATCATAATTCAAATCACATGAACCCAAACTAGGCAACAGAAACTTTTTAATATGATCAAGATAGTCAATTCTTGACTTCCTGAGATGCTACCGTCTGTCGGTAGTAACAACCATCGGTCAACTCGTGTCTCTCAACATCCTGCTCTAAATTAGTATGTGAATAAGCATGTGAAAGATGAGTACCAAATTACACAGTCACTAACAACGCCCTAACGCTTTATGACATTATTCCTAGGAATATTAGCAGTAATGCATGATTGTATTTGCAAAACGTTGAGAAACAGGTGGATACAAATTAAAAAATCTGTTGCTCAAACAAAAGTTTTGGAGCAGAATGAATATCTGATCATCGAAATGAAGCAAACAGAGTGGGAATGAATCTATATCATGGCAACTAAAATGAGTAATTATGTCAGTAATTTAATGCAGACTATAAAATTACATAGTCTTCTACATTCATCATAGTCAAAAACTAACCCCTGAATTTTAAATGCTTTCTACCTGCAAATCATTGGAGTTCACTCAAACAAATCTACACTGATTTTATTACCATTAAATACCTCAACAGTATACATGTAAATGTATGTATTTTTAGGCATTCATTTTCTAGTAAATAACATTTCCAATCAGTACTCATTACAAGCAGACATCATCTGGAGAACCACTGAAAACCTAGGAGTATTGGATAGCTGTTTCATTCTGGCATTGGGCTTCTCAGTGGTGTGCACCCATAAACTAGCCAGGAGTGGAAATCAGGACCTCCAGGTTTCATGGCGACGGCGTTAGGCGTTTAACCACTAGATTGGAGCTCAATGGTCCACAGTTTTCTATTCCTACCAATTCTCAATACAACATGACCTTCATCCAATGCCCACGGTGAGTACCAGTCCAAACATCTAACCTGGATTTTCCTACCGGCCATGACCTTCCATTTGAACTTCAGGAAATCTCATCACCAAGCAAGTCACTGATGAGAACTGGATAGCAATTCAATTTAAAGGTTTGTGGAGATTTCTTGATCTAAAGTTAGTATTCATTACGGACTAACATCACTTATGTTCAATCCTTGGCGGGGTCATGGGTGTGCACTTTTAGGGAGAATAAAACAGCTGTCCAATGGTACCAGGTTTTCAGTGGTTCTACAACTGATGTCAATCCGTGATAGATACCAAACTGAAGCCAGTAAATGTGCACAATCCCCCAAAATGAAAAACATTTCCACAGAACTGCAGAAATGAATGTACATACAGTAAGTTAGTGCACACAATCCACTCATCCAAGCTTCAGTTTAAAAATTACTGAACGAAAGGTTACCTTGAATAAATACAATCTTATTCAACCGAAATTCGTGATTCACTATATAGTAATTTATTAAATCTATGCGTTGTAGGATGAAGTAATCAAGTGCGATTCATCAATAAATGAAGAATGATTCCCTGAATCAATATTTTGCACACAATGTGAACAACAGAAAATATTTGTACAATAAACCATACAAATATACGGATCAACCAACACCTAATCAAGCTCATCTTTGGATCAATGTCGTGAAATTCTAGATAGATAGTGGTCATGTCAAAAATTCATAATTTGTACTTTATTTCTTCAAGAAGTCAGGTATATATATATTTTTCCCGCTTTGATTGATGACTAAATATGGTTCTTGTGTTAACAAAGAAAGTACTGAGAATTTCAATGAAATTAAAACAACTTTTAAAATAGAATGAATAGCATGAGTGAGACTATGCAAATGAATGGTTGATTTTACCTACATCTCTAAAAATGAGACATTTTTGAATGCATAGAAATTATAAACAAGATTTAAGTGTTGTTGTTCAACGAATTGGTGTCATTAATTGGTGTCAATAGTAATAAAAAATATTTCTCATTGACATTCATTAAAGTAAATGTTTGTACAGAATCGGAATTTAGCATTTTGGTATTCATTCAAAAACTTCATCTATCAACTAGCCTGATGTTTTAGGGACATTTTTGAAGTGATTCAAAGGACCAAGCTAAAAATTACTGAAGTAACCAACGAGAGTTCGTAATTTTATGAAATAGAGAAACCTGATTGGTTATATCAGTAATTACTACAATGGCATCTAACGTCATTCCATTTCTGTTGTTACCATCCACATTTATACAGTATATTGTAAATCCAAAAGGAGAACTTCAAATGGTAATCATCGATAGTCAGTAGTACAGAAAGCTGACGATCACCTTATATATGTTGATGTAGTTGGCTGTCAAAATGTGCTTCAATTATTATCATAAAGTATGAGTCAATCTAGATTGGATTTCAAACTTTTTAGGAAATCAAAATATATGCAAAAGTAGAACCTATGCTTCATATTCCTGATCTTCACACCTCATCAACTCTAGTATAATTCCCATTTGTTTAACAGTGCAAATTGCATTTCTTATCGTATTTGAAGCAAATTTACAAGCATATTTATTGTCTTCTATTTGTAATTATACATTTTTACAAAATTATATTCGTAGTTATTTCAACACACATCAGTAATCCAGTAGGTGCCCGGAGTAACATATTTTCATGTTTTCTCTTTTGTACAGTTTATCTTCAACAATCATATCGTAGTGATATTTGTTAAGATAGAACGGTGTACTCGAGTGTGGATTAGCATGCGAATATTCAGAAAATAACTGAAGCAATACAATCTAATGAGAGTCAACTTATACTTTGCACATTCAACTCAAGAATTCACGTAGGTGCAAACAGCTCCGGAATACTAACTTTAGTGGGTTCAACAAAAATCCTAAACATTTTAATAACGTTTATCGAGGTAGTGATGTATATTTTAGACAAAAATAACAAGGATATACGCCTAGCTTTTATGCACTTATAGTACAATCAATGACTTGAAACTCTGAAATACAAAGGATAAATCTCAACAAGACAAAACATTAACGTCAGAGAACTCATTTCCAATTAGTCATATGTAATGCGACTAAGTAATTTCACGCATATTTACTTCTCAAAAATGGCAAGTGAAGCAGAACGGGCTGCAAGTGTCTGGTAGGAGACCTGACAACATCATATGAAATAACCAGGTTACCCACTATATGGGAAGAGATCAACTCAGGTGAAACCAATGAAAGATAGTGAAGGAAGGCTAATTAGCGAAGGAGAGAAACAAAGGAAACGATAGACTGACCTTTTCAGAAAACTCTGGAATCGACCAGCCTTACCACCTGTAACTGGTCCAGAAATAACACCTGCAGACCAGCCACAGAGCCTACAGTGAACACAAGCCCCCCGACAAAGGCAGGAATGAAGTCCTGAGAGCCACTCTGTTGCTAAAAGCCGAGAAAGCAGCAGGACTCGATGGAATCACTCCAGAAGCACTGAAAACAGACTCAGAGACAACAGCAGACACGCTCACACCACTACTGCACAAGGTTTGCAAGGAAGGAAGGAAGGAAGGAAAGGAAGCTGCTGATTTATTGGAAGAAGGGCCACCTTGTCAAACCTCCAAAGAAGGGAGGAGTGAGGCTTTACAGGGACTGGCGCAGAATCATGACCCGTCCCTGTCCACCCTAAGCAAAATATTGAGCTAAATCATCCTGGAGAGTGGTAAAACTGCTCTGGATTCGAAACTACGACTCAAACAGGCCGGCTGGCTGGCTGGCTGGCTGGCTGGCTGACTCCAAGAAAAACAAATCATGTGCAGATCAAATTGCAACGCTACGCTACACATCATCATAGAACAGAGTATAGAGTGGCAGTCAACTCTCTACTCCAACTTCATCCATTTTGAAAAAGCCTTCGACAGCGTCAACCGAGAGGTAACTTGGCAGGCAGCTGCCTCCTTCAAAACTACGGTTTCAGTGCCACAAACCTTTATCAACCTCATTCAACAACTATATGCTACATGATGCTACATGCCAAGTAATTCACAGTGGGAAGCTCAGTGATGCCTTTGAAGTGGAGACAGGAGTAAGACAAGGCTGCCACCTACTATCCACACCTTTGATCTTCCTGATTGCGGTTGACTGGATCATGCAGCAAATTGTGAGGAGCTGTGAGAAGATGGGCATACGCTGACTGAACCGATGAAAAGAGCCCGGAAGATTTGGATTTCACCGATGACTTGTGTCTGATGTCACATAAACTTGAAGATCTACAGGCGCAAACTGACAAGTTGACAGAAGAGGCAGGGCAGCGAATATGGGACTTTAGGTGAACGTGGACAAGACAGAGGTGATGAAGATACCCAACCAACAACAACAAGCACCGATCACCATCAACGGGAGAAACCTAAAGGAAGTAGTCTCTTTCACCCACCTAGGCAGAACCGTTCAAACTACAGATGGTACAGATGAGGATGCCAAAGCCAAGATCGGAAACCCAAGACAAGCCTTCATTAATC